ACCCCCAATCCTTTTGATAAAAATGATAATCAATTTTAAATTATCATGTTAGTTATTTTATATTGATTAGATATTTGGTTCATTATGCGATAGATGTCGAAAGTGGTAAAAACTGTTCAGCAATTTATAAAAGAAATTCTGCCTTGATCTATATAAAATAATATTTGCCTCATATTTGATAATTTAATAGAGTTTCGAAGAAATATTCATATCCTTTTAATTTAAAATAATGAGAGTAAGAAGAGGCTCTTTGTTTTGTTTTCAGCTTATACAAGATATCTACTAAATCCAAGGCCAGCATACCAAATTAATTATTATATTTGGCTCATGATTTTTTAAGCCTGTTCTAGCCCATCTCATAATTATTTAGATAACCTCAAAATATAAAAATATTTTGTATTTGGTTGTTTTCAAATCTTATTTTAATCATATAGAATACGTTTCCAAATCCAAATTATCAAATAATCAAGCATCAACTAAAAATATGAAAATTGAAAAACATCTTAGACTTATACTCTTGCGGAAAATCTCAAAATTAAATTAAATTTTTTTTTATTGCATCAGTGCTAATTTATAAAATAGTATTAGAAAAGCGTCTACATGACAGTATATTCACTGGATGCAAACCCCCCTCAAAAATATATATCTACCCCCCTAATATACCAAAATGTTATCCATAGATAATTTAAAATGTAATGGAAAATTTTCTAGATCATTATAGCCTACATCCTACCCCCTACCCCTTTATAGATATTAGGATGCAAACTGTTCCTACCCCCCCCCCCCGTTCATGTAGACTCTGATTAGAAAGTATGTGACATTTTTAATATTTATCATTTCTTTCTATCATATGTCGTTCATAGCAGTCGGCGAAAAATAATTCCCCGAAAAAATAAACCTCTAATTTTTCTTCTTCTTGTAATAGAAAGGGGGGAGTGGGCTCTTTTCGATTTTTTTCGGATAATTATTTTCCGTTATTCGCCACAGCAAGTTTTAAAGTTTTTTTTATGCATTCCTTGTTTTTTTATCATAATATTTCTCATCTGGCATCAATATTTGTTAATCCCACTCCCTTTTAAAAAATATCTGAATATATATTATATACGGAAAAAATATAATCAGATTAATGTTTAATTTCCCCAATTAAATATATTTAAAATTCAAATCATCTTGACATCGAATTTTATTATATTTCAGATTTCGATTAAATATGGAAACATATTTTTTATATAATTTTTTAAAAACTCAATTTATTTTATAAAGCATTTTACCATCTAAATTACCTATATATTTCAACCCGATTAAATGTTAGAACACTGGGAAAGAAGTCAGGTATAGCGAGAGGGGAAAAATAAGGCGCTTTGGTGGTTAATGGATTGCATTTATTTTATTTTACCCGTTTTGAGTGAAATTCTTTTTTTCTAAGACGGGACTGGACCGTTAAGTCAGATGGAGCCAGAACATGGAACCATCAGTCCAGTTCGCCCGGTCTAATCTAATATAAGCTAAGCACGATAAAAATTAACGTTTCTAAGGAGGAATTAAATCAAGGCTATTGTTGTTACACAATGACTGTTAAAAAGAACATTTTTTTTTACTCTTTTCTCTTCTTTATTTATGCTTATTAAATTACGAAAACCAGGAAGGAGCTAACAAAACTAGCTTGTTCTCATATTTAACAAACAAACTAATGTCATACATATTATATAAAGAAACATACTAAAATACCAAAAAAATCTATGGATTCTAAAAATAATCATTTTAATTCAAGACCATTCCTTTATCCTATAGATAAATGGAACAATAAATTTAATATTGTGGCAAAATATACAAAGGAAATTAATAATTTGCAATTAGTGAGTAGTGGATAGCAAGAGCAATTATATGATTAACAACTTAAATTTTATATTTGTAATAAATTTTTCTAATGATCTTAATCGGTATTTGGTTGAACCAGACCGAACCGAACCTTTGCGTTAGTAAGAAGAAACCGCATTAGACCGAACCGTCAGTCTGACCGGGTGGTTGACGAAACTACCTATAGAAGTTTTCCCTGAGATATATGGAAGCAAATAACTCCTACCAATTATGAAAACTGTAGATGGTGGCTTGTCCGAGGTCATCAATCATTTCCCTAAATTCCCAATATATCTAAATACTTCCCTATCAAGCCTTGTTTTTAATCTTAAAATGATCAAATTCAGTGAAAAAAAGATGCATATAATCTAAAGATAAAAACAAATTATAAAGTAAAATGTCATTATAAAATAGGCAACTGGTTGGGTAAAAATCTTAGTTTTAACGATGCCTAAATTAAATTATGGAGGAGTTATGTCTACGATATTAAATAAATTTTAGTGTTATATATTTTTTTATATTTTGATGGGTTCGGGAATATGAAATTAACTTTGTTTAGGTTGGAATAGTAAAAATACTTTTTCCCTATAGGTTGCATGGGGAATTTTTTTATCTCATTCAAGGCTAAACTCTCACAAATGAAGGAGTGGAGACTAGATGTCTGCATTGAGCGGGTTTTTAGACCACCCGAGGCGAACGGGTTAAATTTTTTAAAGAACGGGCGGGCGGGTTAAAAAATTTACAACTTTTATTTGTTAATTAAAATCATTTATGTAAATATTAAAAAAAATGTCCCATTAAATTTCAACATTTTTAATACCAATCGATATCTGAGGATGTGTTGATATCGAAAACATGTATTTTCATGGAAGAATATAAAATCAACGTGGATGAAAATCTAATTTTACCCGTATCTCTAAAAGCTAAGAGAATTCAAAAAGGTATTAAAATTATAAATGCAATGTTTGAAATAGATAGTATCCACGTCAAAATAGAGCAACAGATGGGAAGATGTGCATGTTACAGAGGAGAGCACCTTACCTAAAAACATAAGAAAATAATTAAATCATTAAGTAGCGAGATTTTGTATAATTTAGCAAGGTTTTAGACTGTTAAGTTTAGTCGTTAACCATTTACAAACAATTAATTTAAATTACTTTATTTATTTATCATTAATAGTTTTACTTTTTATTTAAATCTCACTTAAGTAGATGATATACTTCAAACGGATATCCTACTTTGGTGGAAACGACAAGAAAAATATTTATCGAAGCAATCAAGATTAACCAGTGCTTCTTCTGAAAGAGGAATTAACAATACTGGAAGGTTTATAAAACAAAATGGAATATACGTGAATCCAGGAAATGTGGATTCATTATTTTTATTGCATTATAACTAGAAATAATAAATATTAATTTTATATTTTTTATATAAATAAAATATATTCCTTAGCCGCAATTTAAATTGAATATTTTTTTTGCTTAATATAGCATTTCCTAAATTATAAAACTTTTTTGGGTGTAGCGCTTGAAACTGAATCATTTTATAATTATATTTTAAAAAAATTATAAAGAATGAGCTTATTTAAATTTTATGGGCGGCATGGGTTAAAAATTTATAATGGGGGGGCGGTTAAAATTTTTAGACTAATGGGTGGGCGGGTAAAGAATTTATAATCACAGGTTGGCGGGTATCTTTTCTTAAAAACTATGAGCGGGTTAAATTATTTTAAAAATATTGGACGGGTGTGTTTGTGGGCTAAAAACATATGCATATGGCGAAAACGTTTTTGAACATAGTTGCCATTGCGAAAAAAAGATACATGACTATTTGTTGGATATTCTCGTTAAATTAAGCAGTTGACTTTTATTTTTTTTAAAAATATTATTTAAATTTTGGGGTTGCTCATAAAAATGATGTTTAAAAAAAAGGCTTAAATTGCATATTTTTTGTTTTATTTATAAGTGTTAATAAATGTTTTGGCCACTTTACTTTCATTTCAATTTATTTAAATTCAGAGTTTGCAAATGATTTCATCTTGAAGGATTTTTTCCTGCATCAAAATTTGCATATAAAACGTTTTTTAAAAAAGATTTTGGCCATTTTAGATAAAATTTGATCATAAATCTCTATTCCTCAAAAAAATAATAGAAACTTTATTCAAACTCTAAATCTGATGGGAGCCAAGAGAAGAGATAAATTTTTTAGACGTGCTGATTTTTATTGTAGAGATGCTAAGCACCTATTTCCCCTCCCTTTTGATGCAAATGGAATGAAGATATTCATCGAATTGTGAAATAAATTTTCAGAATAAGAGGACTAAGAAAGAGCAGAGAAAAGAATTATACAAAAGGATTCTAATTTATCCAAAATTATAATTCATTTTATTTTTCAACAAATTTCCTTAAACAAGTTTTGAAAAAATTATAATGTTCAAGCAATAGTTTAATAAAAGCTGTTTTTTCCTAGTACAAACAATTAAATTCCAAAATCGCTGAACTATAAAAATTATAGGGCTGTGCCAATCCACAAAGTTTTCGAGAAATCCAATCTTTCTACAAAACTGATCTTTAGATTAATTTTTATTTACCATATATCTTTGAATCAAATCAATACCATAAAATATCTTCTAGTCAAAAAAAAATATTCATGATATAGTATTTTTATATTCTCCAAAAGTTAATATCTCATTTAATATATGGGATGTATCAGTTATATATAACCTATTTTTAAAATGCCTAAATCAAGTTTAAGCAAAGAATTACTACCTTAGCTTCGAAATTTCCCTAATAGATGTTCCAAACCTTTTTGGCATCTTTATGATTAGCTGCTTGACAAAACTTACTGAATGTGAATAGTTAGATATTTTAATATCAAATTTTTAGCTACTTATCTTTTAAAATAATTCAATTTTTTTTAAACATTACAAATAAATTGAATTTTGGTTCCTACTATTCTAAAAAAATAATGCAAAATCCAATCCATAGTTATCTAAAAATAATTAAATTTGAACTATAATAAAAGTGATGATGCAATACTATATATAACCAATTTATAACCATTTATAAAAATCGATCGTATCATTCATTTAATATCAAATATATTTAATTTAATATTCTAGGAAATAATAATGTTATAAAGCGTCAAATTATATTATACAAATATCATGTACAATTTAAATGACCAGTGCTTTCTACTAATTTAGACACTAAGACAATATTTATACAATATATTTGGGTTATATATATTTAATTATAATAAATGGAATCTGCCAAAACCCCGATTAATCTATATTATGAGCTTCTATGTCATCTTCCACATCAGAAATAATTTTTTGACTTGCATTCTCTAGAATTTCATTTTTTCCCAAATTATCATCCAGGGGAGAATTGGAAAAACTTGTATCTTCCTGATTTAAATCCTCATTGGCATGCACCATAACTGACTCCAAATGTTGTTCCCTCGTTGTAGTAATAATTTCATTAGTAGGGGATAACTGAGAATCTTCTGTGCCATTGGGGGAACCTCTATTTAATTCACCTACTTCTCCAGTTATATTTTCCTTGCTAATTGTAGTTACAGTACTTTCTTTCAATCTTTCACTTACAATATCCACCACTTTTTTATCCTCACCATTAATGTGTATCTCCTTCAGATCCAAACTGACCCCATCTTTTGATTCTATTTCCACCTTTTTGGTAGTTTTCAAAGTGTCATCAGTTTTATTTTCCTGGATCTTTGTGTTTCCTTTATCTTGATTTTTCGTGACCACCACTTTTTCATCCCTCTTTCTCACAATTGGACTTGCATGGCTGCTTCTACTGGACCCAGAACTATGGCTGATACTTCTTTTTCTCCCTGAATTTTCATGTGTCTTCCTTCCCTCTCTTGAACGTTCGGTTTCAGTATCCCTACGTCTATCCCGTCTCATTCTCTCTCTATCACTTCCACTCCTGTCGTCTCTATGTCTATGAGAAGAATTTCTGCTATATTTATCTCGATAAGAATTGCCCCTTGACTGGGAACGGGAATAACTATTGCGATTAAAGGATCTAAAATACAAAAAGAGTTAAGAGAACGTGATTTCAAAACGAGCCAATCCTATTAAAAATTTATAGATTAATTATACAGAGCTATAAAAAGTGCACAATAAATAGGCCTGGATGACAATTTGCTATTTTTATTAACTCAAAGTATAAATATATTTAACTCAACATTAAGAATTAAATTGGTCCTTGAATAATTTTTTTTGAAACATTGAAAAAGAAATCAAATGTTGTTATTTAAATTAAAATAACAATTATTAGATTTCTTGCCAGATAAAGTTACAATATATTATTTAAAACTTTTGAAAAAAATAATATAATCAGCTAATCATTATACTATCTACATCCACAAAAAAATAGGTAAGATATAAATTAGAGTCAACACTACTAATAGAAATAATAAGATACAAAAAAGACATTTCCTAGGATTCCCAATATTAAATTGTTTACCTATTTATATTATAACTGTTATGCGTTTTTTAATGAATATAAATTTGGGGTAAAATAAAGGCATCTACAATTAAATCATATTTTTTATGTCATATATTTTAAAAATAAATTTGGAATTGCTGATTTTAAATGTGGAGATAGAATATAAGACAATTTTTTTAAATTGTATATCTTCGAAGTTTAGTAATGGATAGATTGACAATTACTAATTTTTGATGAAATTTTAAAATAAAAATTCCTTTTACCATTTTGAAAGTAGGATATTACTTCTTAAATCATGTTTGTAAAATTTTTTAAAAAATGAAGAAATAGAATAGTATAATAATTTGTTGATAATATCTCTATATTGCTAATTTTGCATTCTTAAAAAATTGTTGTCTTTAAAATTTAATTAAACACAATATTGCATTGTTTAGCAAAAGGATATTAATATTTTGGGGTTATATTTTAAAATTTATATAAAAACAATGACAAACCTTTTGTATACTTTAGAACATTCCCTTGAAAAATGCCCTCTTTGCCCACATGTATAACATCTCATATTAGGATCAAACATGCTGCCTCTTTTAGTGCCTCTAGTCCTTGGTCTAGCAATTGTTACTCTAATTTTATTGCCAGCTATATACCTATAGAAGAAAATAGTTAAAATTTAAAAAAAACAGTGTTTATCTAATCTGGCATATTTTATAATAGAAAAAGTAATAAATATTAATAAACATGCTATTTAATAATCTAATGAAGCAAATATATATAAATAAGTTAATAAAATAACTATATTTTAAAATGCCTTTAGGCTACAATTAAAATTCCATTACGTATTATCTAATTTCCTTATGGCTCTGTCTGCTTCTTCCTTTTTCTTGAAAACAACAAAGGCAAAACATGGTGGATTTCTAGCAACCCAAACTTCTCTCAGAGTTCCACATTTTCCAAATACATCTTCTAATTCCCTTTTAGAACAATCTGCAGTTAAGTCTGAAACATGGAGCCTTATACCATTAACCCGTTCATCCTCCAAGTCACGACTTCTTTCTCTTCTTCCCCCATATTGGTAGCTTCTACTCCTCCGCCTTTCTCCTCTGATCTGAGGTGATATGGTAGATCTAGAAGCTTCTGAGCCAGATTTAGAATGTGACCTTGATAACGCATTTTTATTAGGTCTACCTTGTTGTTTATTAAACCTATCCCTTCCCATTGAACTGCCTCCACTGGAATATGAAGCTGATGAGGATCCTCTTCTCATTCTTTTGTCTTTAAAATCATCATCATGTAAATCTGATCTATATCTAACAGAATTGTAGTTATCATCATCTCTAGGCATAGTTTAAATCTGTAAAAAAAATTGTTAATGAATTTTCAAATAATAAAAGGTTAAAAATTATATAAAAGAAAAAAGTTATAAAAAAGGGAATAAAAGAGATATTACAAAAATTTTAAATTATTAAAGTGTATAATTCAAACATTAAAAATCAAGCCAGGATATTTTATAATAAGTTAGCTTATTTTAATCATATTGGCCCCATATCATCCAATAAAATTATCACCATTTTCCAAATTTAGCTGTTCCTACACTACATGCTTACCATGACCACTGAAACCAATACCATAATCCTAATTACATATTTATCAGCGAGCATTAAATTTAAATTTTATATTAGATGCAAAATTTAAATAAAAAGCTATAAAGGGTATAAAATATTTACCTTGTTCAATAGTGAAATAAGAATTTTAATCACGTGATAAAAATATAAATTTGTTTAAAGCGTTCTAAATTTAATTTCTAGAATTTAATTTTTTTAATAATAAATTTCGTTAAATAAAGTTGTTTTTATTTTTAATATGGATATGGCTTCTATTTAAAAAAAATTTATATACGAAGCTTAATTTTTTATAACTATGTGATTACTACTATTAAATAAATCTAGTAATTTGTTTTATTACAATTTGTTACACTTTATTAGTTGCTCTATATTATATTTATATCTTTAGGGCAATTTTATAATTTAAATTTAAATTTATTTTTATTTAATAAAATTATTTATAGTTTTTTGATCCTAACAGATTTTATTTTACTTTTATTATGTAGTAAACGGAATCGCTTTTATGTCAAAACATTTAATATCAAAATCTCATATAATTAATTATTTGGTTATATCAAAAGAATTGAATACTCAAATATGGTAGAGAATAATTTGCTGGGTTTTCAGAATATCAAAAAAAAAGATCGAAGATAGTAAAATATATATAATAGACTTCTACAAATATACGTTTAGGGTTAGTGCCACCCTATGGCTTACTTTAATAACGTATTGCCCATTGGCAGATAAAAATAACTTATGCCACAAAATAAAAAATTTTCAAAAAATAGAATCAGTAAGAATATTTTTTCGTAAGACTTTATTATTAAAATAATACATTATCCATATATATATTTTAAAAAAAAAAAAAAACCTGCTTATAAAAAAAATAAACCAAACATAAAAACCAACAATCCCTTATTAATATCAAAAAAACAAATATAAAAAATTTTAGTGTTTTTAAAAAACCCGTATTTGGGTCTATTTTTCAAAATGGTCGGATTAGTTTTATCTAAATAATAATATAAGCATCAAGATTTGGGAAATAGATATCCAAGCATTTCTGCCATCTATGAGCAAAATTTTTAGGCTTACAATGTTATTTTGGTTAATGGGGCCGTTTTTTAAGACTCGAATCGGGCTTTTTATAACAAAATATAAAGATTTACATATGAGAGAACATAAAATAAAACAAAAATATCACCCCCCTCCCCCGGAAGAAGCGACTAGTAGATTAATTAAAAAATGATTGCATAAATATGGAATCAATTAATATAAATCTAAAAAATATCAAAAATAAAACACTGACTTACCCTCCATTTATGAATTAATAAATAGCTTCAAACTATTTTTTAAATAAATGAATATAAACAACTTTTTAAAATTTTATATTTAATAAATTTTTTTAATAAAACATGTGTCTCATGCCGGAATTCTGTAAATTGAAGGTTAAGAGGGCGTTTATAATTTATAACTTATTTTTAAAGTAAACGGAAGAATTTCCAATAAATGATATAAATATTTTAAAAAAAATTAGGATGAATAAATCTCCAACAAGCAGTTATCCGAAGCATTACCTATAGCTCTACCAGCAGAAAAGTTGAATTGTGTTAGATAGACTCCTGTGTAATCTAAAAGGCGGGTCCTACAACAACTCAAATCACTTAGGCGACTCCATATCTTAAAGTAATTAGGTGAAGGGCAGAAGAAGACTTTTATTTAATAATCAACAAATATTTAGCGAAAGATAACTATTAAATACCAACTTTCGGCGATCTGGCAGATAGTATTGCATAGCGTCAATGTGACAGAATATTCACTATATACATACCCTGCTCAAAAATCTTTACCAAACCCCCTAAAATATTTTCCCACCTTCTATTTTCACATTATTAATTACACCTTTTAATTATAATGGTACTCTCTTCATAAATTTTAAAACGAATAATTTAAATTATTATTGCTCTACTACATAATATCAAAATATTGTGAATGTAAAAGAGTTATTTTTCAGGACATAAATTTAATTATAAACCCCTCATTTATAAATGCATAACCCTTTTAAATTACTTTTAAAAGAATAGCAGAGAATTATCCTGAAATGTTTTATTTAGAAAATATGAGCATTAAATAGATTTGGCTGATGTTTAGCAATATAGTTGTATTATAATAGGTCTATAATAAAAGGATTAATTTTTACAGCAATAAATTTTGCTCTATTTCATTTTAAAATTTAATAAACAACCCTCAAATAAATTTATCTTGCCCATAGCCTATCTCCTACCCCTCTTATACACCTTATCTCCTTAAATGCCTACCATTAGAAGCAAACTGTTCCTAACCCTTCCTCTTCCCGCTTATGTCGCTGGGATGGCAGATGGTAAAATCTTTCTACGATAGATTTAAGAGACGCAATTCTACAATTCAGAGATAGTTCAAATGTAGGGGATTTTAGTTCGTTTGCATACACGTCAATATTTTCGACTGCTGAGGAGGCTTCGGCGATAATGTTCACCATAAATAAATTAATCATTACCGGAAGTCATTTTATTTTGGTTACTGATTATAAACCATTGTAATATATTTTAGAAAAAGAGACCTAAACAAAATTGCAAATAACTATTTAATATAGTATGTTAAAAGAGTTGCCAAGAAACCAGGAACTAAACATTACTACTTAACCTTGGGAACAAATCCACGTTGATTTGACAGGTTTTGCCTCTGAAAAATATTTAAGCGTAAACGCCTTCGGCAAATGAGTTGAATTTAAAATTTAACACATATTAACTTGGCGTGTAATATATTTGGTTTACCTAGCTAAATTCTTTCAGATAACAGTACTCAGTTTACCGGATCTGAATTCAAAACGTTTCATTTAACCCATTAATGATCAACGTATTATATATATAGATGTAAAATTCCCGGGAAAATTGGTTCAGGGGAAATTTCCCCGGGAAAATTGGGAAAAAAAGGGAAAATTGGAGAAAAAACGGGAAATAACGGGAAAAAACGGGAAATAACGGAAAATTAAAAAATAACCACAAAATATACTTTAAACCTTTCAATTTTTTTTATGGAATAACTTTATTAAATTTGGGGAACTGAGGGAAAATAATATAATTAAACAATAAAGACAAAAATAAATACACTATAAACATCATCTTTTGAATAACTTTATTAATTACAAAAAGCATGTATCAGAAATTACATTTAAAATTCTTGGGATGCTAATGAAATAGCATCAATATCTTCATGGGATGAAATTGAAATATCATCATTATCACTTGATATTGATAAATCGGAATTTGAACTCTTTTGATGATATCCCGAACTTGATGTATTTGTATGATCCTTTAAATGTATGTTATGCCTTATTGATATTAATTTTTCGACTCTTTCATTCTTTATTCTATTTCTCGTTTTTGAATAAATTTTTCCAAATGCTGACCAGACTCTTTCTGACGAGGCACTTGAGGGTGGTATCAAAGACATCTTACTGCCACTTGACAAAGGGGTTGATTTGTACACAACCCTTTCCACCATATGAGTGGTTTGGTATGGATTGAGCTCTCCCATATGCCCGTTCCTTTATAGAAACCTTGTTTTGAACGATATTCTGCTAAATTACCCATAATTTTTCCAATATCGCAATTAATTTGGCCTGAAATAATATTTATTATATTTAAAGCTGCTGTTAATTCACGGTCTGTTAATTTCACACCATAATATCGAGGATCCAGAAGATTTGTTGCATAATGATATTCTCGGCAACAAAATTTCTTTCGTTTTTTAATATGCATCTTAACACTTTTCAAATCATTTTCATTAAAAATAAAAGTTGATGAATTGAGTTTATCTTTTATGTCCCAAATTATTTCTGGAACGTCAGATAATACCGCTGAATCCGATTCTACAAATATAATTTTCTTATAAATAAATTCCAAAAAGGTCAGTACAGACTCTAATTTATCCCAGTATCCTTCTTTGCCTAATATAATAAGCCTTCTTTGTTTGTTTGTAAATAAACTAGAAATTGCAATTTCTTGCAAAACTTCCTTATTTTTCACAACACTTTGCAACATTATAACAAAACCTCCCCATCTTGTCGGACTTCGAATTTTTAAGGAAGATTTATATCCTTTCAATATTTGCCTTTCTTTAAAAGTTGCTAATAAAATACCATAAAATTTCATATATTTAATTATTTGCTTGGTTTTTTTGATGATCTTTTCAATAAAAGGTATTTGGCATAAATCTTTAATAAGCAGATTCAACCCATGTGCGGCACATCCAAAGCATTCAATATAATTATATTTTGCCTTAACAAGACTCCAGGCCTTTTTCATATTCTTTGCATTATCAGTTACTAGTGAGATAAATTTTTGACAACCAATTTCTTCTATTACCTTGATCAACTCAGATGCGATATATTCACCAGTGTGAGCACAGGAACCTGTGTCAATGGATTTAAAAAAAATTGGTTCTGGAGTCATTATTATAAAATTAATAATGGACTCTCCGCGAATATTTGTCCAGCCATCGCTTATGAGAGTAAAATCTTTTAAATTATTGAATTTATTGTTAATAATATTTTTCACTTTAATGTATTCAAAATCTAGTAATGTTTTACTAATTGCATGTCTAGAAGGGATTTTATAGGCTGGACGCATTAATTTTAAAAAATTGTTGAAATATTTATTTTCAACTAAATTAAAAGGGCAATTTGACATAAAAATAGCCAATGCCAAAGCACTGTCAAGTTGCGTTTGATTTTGTTCGGTTATAGTGTCGAAAAAAATTTTAATTTTAGATGTGCCAGCATTAAAATTATTGGTATTTTCTTTAAAAGTATTTAGAATGGTTTTATTTATGTTTTTTTGGGATATAATTTTATTAGGATTACTGAAATCTGGTAAACATACTACAACATTCTCTTCAGTAGAATTATTATTATCACGATCAACTTCATTAGTAAACTGTTTATACCCTTGACATTTTTTGATATGCTGAGACATCTTTGTTGAATTTGGGAATTATATGTTAATTGACAATATTTGCATATTGATATATATCCTTTCTTGTTATTAGCTCTATCTTTAATAAAATGTTTCCAGATATTGGAAGATTTCCGAGGCATCTATAAAATATTGCAATCATATTAATTTAAATTAAACATCAATAAATCATTATATCAGTTATATAGTATGATTAAAATATATTAAACATCATAAATCATTATATCAGTTATATAGTATGATTAACATCAGGGGCGTCGCTAGCCTTTACAATCTCAGGGGGCTCAACTAAAAAAATTTATGGGGGGCTTCGCCCCCATACCCCCTAATTTGCGGGCCTTCGGCCAGGTTATATAGTAATATATTTTTAAAAATTACTAAACTCTTGAATGATTATTCTTATTTTCATATTTTGTTTTTTATTATATTATACGTACAAAATAAACTAGAATATAAATAATTAAGACTAGAATATTGATCATTAAGACTAGAATATAAATATCATTAAGACTAGAATATAAATATCATTAAGACTAGAATATAAATATCGTTAAGACTAGAATATAAATATCATTAATACTAAATATAAATAATTAAGACTAGATTATAAATAATTAAAACTAGAATATAAATAATTAAAACAATACATTTCTACAAATTTTCCAATACAAAATCGATTTACTACAGTATAAAGTATTTTAAATTGCTGATATTTCGCGTCTAAAGAATTACAAGTGATAAAACCGATTAATTAATTCATACATATGCCTCAATTGTTAATGTTTTTAAAAACCCCATAAGGCAATATAATTTTAAGCAACTAACATTAACAAAAGGTCATGAAACTAATATAACTCTCTCTTACCATTTTAGACAAAGTTTTATAGAATGGACTAATAAGGAAAAATTTATAGGCCTAACCAAATCAACAATTCTTGAAGAAGAAAATATACACGACCAATCCAAATCATAAAACTATATGGTGGTTAGAGCTTCCTCTTAGATGACATGATGGAAGCTAGATAAGTAATCGAGAAAATTATTGTGAGATATTAAATTTCTAAAAGAATATCTTCCATTTTTAATCCTATATAAACTACTGGACAGTTGATCATTGTTGCTCATCTTAATTATACAATCATATGCTCTCAGCAGCTGTAGTAATATTCTTAAATTACATAGCCACACAAATAATAGATGCTGGTTAATTTGCAGTCATAGCCATGACACACGATGTTGACTCATATCAAAATCTAGTATGTTAGATATATTGATAAAGCAAAAACACCTAAAATCTTGGAAGAAATTATGCAAATATATTGAAGCCTTGAGTTATTTACAATTTAAGTGTGCCAAATTAGAAATAAATAATTTGGGAGCTAGAAAATAAGTACCATAGTGATATGATGAACAATTAAAATCTTATATATTATTGTATTGTCAATGTATTCAAATATTTTTAATTAAATTTTTCAGAAACTTTGGTCATATCAAAAGAAAGCATTTACTGTTTTTTTCTGATTTTTTCCTATCTCAAAAAGAATTTTTTTATAAGCACCATGTCTTTTAGGTAATTTTGGTTATATATAAATAAGCAAACTATTCTAAATTTATTTAGCATTTTTATTAAAATATAGTTTATTATTAAGTTAGGATAAACAAATAAATATATAATTATCAAATTATGAAAGAATAATTGAGTAAACAATTTAGCCAATATTATCTTTATTAATGTAAAAAGAATAATAGTGTATGATTTATTAAGATATTGACTATTTATATAGAAAATATTTACTATGTTTAATTTAGCTAATATTTTGACATCACCTTATGTGATTATAATAGAAAAATTTTAAAAAAAATTTCCATTTCTAGTGTCCTGCTCCTGAAAGGTGAAAATATATTGTAAAGCAATTTTTGCTTAACTTGAAAACTAAAGAAATCAATATTGTTTAATACTCTGGTGAAAAATGACTTAAATAGAAATTCTATAGAAATTAGGCAAATTTGGGAGGAAATAGGAAAAACATATAACTTCAATTATGATCAAGTGAAAAAGAAACCTTCCATTAAAATAGATAATTAACTAATAAATTTTTATTTTTTAAAACTTAAATGTCCAAAGTGTTTTGTTATTAATTTGTGAAAATTTTAAGGATTTTTTCAAAACATTTTGGACACAGACTTATATATAAATTTATTTACCTATTTTCTTTCTTTTAACATTTTAGTTTTCAATATTTATATCTTTTAAAACTACAATTAATCGTCTTTCAACTAAATCAAAGTTTGAATTTTAAAAACTGTATAAAATATACTTTGTTCATCACCAGCTTTATTATTGAATCCTCTTCTTTGGTCCTCAAGATTATTGCTACTTTTATCTTTAGTTTTTTTCATAAAGTCTTTAATGCTTAAATTTTTAAATCGCAAAGATTTTATTTAAATAGTGATTTTAAACTCGGCTTAAAATATTAAATTTGTTAATTTTCAATTAATAATTTATTTAATTAGGGTTATATAATAATTTAATTAATAAAAATCAATTAAACTTCAACTGTTAATGCTAAATTGATATTTAAACATTATGCATGGTATTGATATTTTATTTTTAACAAAGAATTTGATTGCAAGCTGACATAGTGAAAATATAATTTATATGTATTAATCTAATCTAATAAAATTTAGATAGTCTTATTAATTTTTAAATAATAAAATTAAATCTATATATTACTTAATAGAATTATAATAGACAGGGGACAATCAAAAAAAGTTCTTTTTAGTTTAAGGGGATATTAAGGAACCATTAAAAAAAAATTTTTTTTTTGCTTCAAGGGGCTATTCAAATTTTTCAGGGGGCTTGAGCCCCTGCGCCCCCCCCCCATAATGACGCCACTGATTAACATATAATGATACTTATAGTGCGCACAAATTGAGCGTTGCAACTCTCCGTTTTAAAAGCTAATATGGTAGAGTGCAGCTTGGATTTTTTTACGGCAAACGTTAATAAAAAAGCAAACTGGTTAGATTTTTTTTTCTATGTTTTTTTAATTTTGCGCTAAAATTTAAAAATTAATTCATATATTAATTGATATTATATTATTTAGAATATATTAATTGATATTTATATAATTTTAGAAATGATTATTTATATAATTTTGGAATTTATATTTAAATAATTTTAGGATACATATTATAATTTTAGAAGGGATGATAAGGTTACTAAAAAAATTTGTACCTTACTGCAAACTCAACAAATGGTCTGGAGCCAGCAGCGTCCAGACCATAAGAATTCTATATTGGTATTAGATGGTTTATTAACCAGTAGTTTTAGGTAAATATATATAAATAATGATAAATTATATTTTTAATAGCTTGGGGATGGAATTTCCATTGCATGATACAACTGTAGCATGCATAAAGAAGAAGTTGCAAAACTTTAAAGACCAAGACAATTGTGCAAGGTTTCAGGAGCTTCTGGCTCTAAACTCTCATACAGAAGGTATGATTACATTAAATTCATGGAGCCAACAATAGAGGATAGTTTTAGTCCTTAAGAAATTATACCAAAGGAAGGCAAGTGGGTTAAAATTAAATGCATTGTTGGATATATTGACTCTTTTGGAAAGAGTGCCTTGAGAGCCAGTAAAATATATATTTATCTATAAATTTAACATTATTATAGAATGTTTCTCTATAAAATATAAATCAAACAAATATTTTTTTAAAAATGAAGTATCTCTATTGTATTATACTTTAATGGAAAATTGAATTGTGGCCTCCAAATTCAACAGATATACCTGCAAATCAAACCTCATTATTTAATGAAATTATATCTATGAAAATTGATTTGTTTTTTTTTGTAATTCTATTTATTTATATATAATAAAGTTATATTATTCCATATTCTAGTGTCCATTTTTGAAAAATATATTTAAAATTATTTTATTAAATAAGACATTTAATACTCTTATTATGGTGTACATTTTCATAATTAAATTGAAAAATGTAATTAAAATATTTTGTAAAATATATATAAATAAGCAACTATTCAAAATTTATTTAGCAATTATTAGATAGATTTAATCAAATTATATCATAAATTTTAAATTTGATTAGCAATATTTCTAAATCTTTTATTTTTATATCTAGTGTCTTGAAAAAAATATAAAATATATAAATATGCAAACTATTCAAAATTTATTTCACATTTTTATTAAAATATATAGATTATTATAAATATATAAATTAAGGTAGGATGAACAAAGAAACATTTATATACATATGTTTTGCATCCAAGGCCACAAAAAAATTGAAAACCCTGATTGAATCATAAATTCTTAGGAAATCTAAATAAACAAATATAATTAAACTTCCTTATTTTATCTTAAGGTAATAAATAAACTCTTTTTGTTTAAGAAATTATAAAAAAAACTTTAATAAAAAACATACTGCTTTCAATCTAAACAAAGATGCGTTACATTAACAAACATACTGCAAACGCTCAATTTGTGCGCACTATTATATATCAAATCTAAATATATCATTAATTATTAATAATTCTATAATATATCACATTAATATTATGTATGAGAATATAATGTGAAACATTATACCTTTATTTTTGTACTTTTAAAATTATAGATTTGAAAAATTGCACTCAATAATTGCACTAATAAAAAAAATAAGTTTAAAGACTCACGAGGAAAATAAAAATTATTTATAAATTAAATTATTAATCATAATTATTGAAATAAAATATTATATTTTATAAAATATAAATCATAATTTTTGCAAATAAATAATATATTTATATTAAGGGAAAATTAGGGAAATTTCCCGTTATTTCCCTACCTTTACATCTCTAACCATATATGCAACAACATTTGTTATTTATTAATTTTTCACACAGTGACGAAGCTTCCATAGAAGCAAAGGAAGTATTGCTTCCCTTGAAATTTTTACTAAAAATTCTTAAATAAACTTAATATAATCTTTATATGTTAAAAAAAACTAAGTAGAATTAATTTTTTTAACGTTAAAAATATTAATATTATTATTACTACTTTAAAAAAATTAATATTTTTTTTATACGTTAAAAATTTATATTATTTTTATTGCGTTAAATAATTTAATACCCTAAAAAAAATATACACGAGGGAAGCAAATTTAATATTGCTTATTTTTTTTAAAATAAATGCATCATTTTTGATCAATAAATGTATTCACTGCTTGTGTGTGGATCAATCACATAATTATTTCAAACAAAAAAATAAACCAAATTATATTACAACCGCGTCAGAGATGAAAAGATTTATAGAAATTCTTTTGCTGATTGAATATCATTCCTTACTGCAAGAAAGATATATTGGTCGAATGACAATGATATTATTATACCAATCGTTAGGAATTCAATGATACAACATACATTTCGCGATATCAAAAAGAATCTACATTTATCTAATAACTCAAATGATGAAGAAGATAATCTTTAAATAGTCCGCTCATATTCAAATTTACTAAATAAAAGTTTCAACAATTCGATATATTTTTACCATAATTTATGCATAGATGAGCAAATGATACCATATCAAGGAAGACATTCCTGTAAAATATTTAACAAAGGTAAACACATTCAATTTGGATATAAATTTGCTTCCTCCGATTGTTATATATTTGCATTTAATATATATTAAGGAAAAAATAAAAGCCAAATAGCTTCGAATCTTGGAATAGGAGGTACGGTTGTTACAAATTTAAGCACTTTCTTTGCATTTTCACTTCGAGAATTTTTTTTACATCTCTATGATTTTTCGAAACTGGGATTATAAAAGAAAATAAACTTAAAAATTATCCCCTGGAAACAAGTAAAGTTATGGCAAAAAAGAGAGGGGCTACTACGACTACCGATTTGAAAAGGCATATGAAATATTTGTAGTTCGATGGAATGATAGTTCAATGATGACAGTTTAATAAACATGTAAAGCTCTTAGCCATCTATGAAACATATCAAGATTCTCAAGAATGATTTTCTCAAACTTAAAAATTACACAACTTAATCTAATAAATTCCTATAATTCCCATATGGGTGGCGTTGATCTGTGCGATAACCTAGTGACAACTTATAGAATAAATATGAGGTAAAAAATGGTAGTGGCCTAAGTAATTTTATTAATGTAGTGGTAGTAAATTCATGGAAGTTATGGAATTGAGTGAATCCTGATGGTAAAAAATTATTACCAACATTTCGGCGGTAAATATCTACGACACTTTTGAAGACTCCCCTGGTAAATAAAAAGATGAGTACAAGTAGGATCCAACCTAGTGAATTTTCTTCACTAAGTGAAACACCTGAAATTCTTATGACAACTATTATTTATCCATAACAAAAGATGACGTTGTAAGCTTTGTCATAGTCAGGCAAGATATGTTACATGTGTCAAATACCAATACATATTGATTGTTTTAATTTTTTTTTATAAAATATAAAAATTACAAATTTGTAACTTATAAATATAAAATATGTAAATAGATTTTAAATTATCAATCGTATTTCAATTTTTTGCAATAATATAATTTAATCTTAGTTTTATACCCCTAATGGGCAACATCGCAGATACGCAACGGTTCAGATTTCCTATTTAGGATAATTTTTTTTGTCAATTTTTTAAGATTTTGTAGTTAGACTAAAATAAATAAAATATGAAAAAATCAAGAATTTTCATCGGCAGGAAAAAGTGTGACCATTAATGGGATAAATAACACGTCAAACATTTTAGGTCTGTCCCTACAGCTCCAAATTGAAACATTTGGCTGAGCTAGCATTTACATGACAGGATCTTTATTGGATGCAAACCATCTTCAAAAGTCTATACCTATCTCCCTAAATAATTTTCGCCACCTTCGGCCGTGATGTTTCACATTATTAATTGTACCTTTTTAATTATAATGGTACTCCTTTTATAAAATTTAAAAAAAATTACTTAAATTATTTTGGCTCTACAACCAATTAACATAATATTGTGAATATAAAAGACTTATTTTTTAGATCATGAATTCAATTTGAATTATAATAGTTTCTTTGGCATAAATATGAGTTTGTTGAAAGTCTAACCCTTTTAAATTAGATTTAAGAGAATAGCAAAAAAATTTACTTGGAATATAATGTCTTATTTGTAATATATAGATTTGGTCAATGATCAGCAATATCATTATATTATAAAAGGTGTATAATAAAAGTATAATTCTACAGCAATATATTTCGTCCTATTTCATCTAAAAATTTAATAGAAAACTCTCCAATAAATTTATCCTATCCCTCTTACCACTCAAGAAAAATAAGATGCTAAACCCCCCCCCCCCTTTCCTTGCTCATGTAGACCCTGGCTGAGCGCTTACGAGACGCGCTTCTCCCTGGCTGAGCGCTTACGAGACGCGCTTCTATACTGGTAGGAAATGTGGGAGTTCCTAACCCTAGTCAATGTTTTAACAACTCATTTAAATAACTCTTAGATCGCTCAAGCGGACCTTCGATCAGTAGAAAATTATCAACGTGAGAAAGGAAAGCGCCACATAGAAATAAAAATATTAAAAGATGGGAACGTTGAGCCTTGTTGAATTAGAAAATAATCAGTAGGTTTGTATAATAAGCGAAAGGATTAAGGGATGGCATGAAAGGTTGGTTATTCAACTTAAAAGTGCGATATTATATGATGTCGAGTCTAATGGCATAATAAAAACAGGCATCCCGACTAACTGAGAGATGTTTGTGTACAAGCAAAGGAAAAACCAATAAAAGTGATATATCGATGTTTTAGATTATATATATATTAAAATAAGGCTATTAATGCAATCGATTGTTTCTTATCTTAGTAAATGACATTTTTGTTGATGTTATTTTTGATTATATATATATATATCATTCATGTGAAGATTTATAACATTGAACATTAATTTTCTACTCAAATTAAATAATTTTTTCCTTCAAAATCTTTCATTAACGATAAGTTAAAGATACCGAGAATATTAAATTATGCCAAACAGAAACATCAAGATAGTTCTAAAGAAAAGTGAAGATGAAGAAGCACAAAAATTTAGTTTTGGGTATTATATAGGGGCGTTTTTTAGCACATTACATGCATTCATTTTTGCGAAAAATTTAAAAATGAAAAATTTGATGTCAGAGCTAGAAGCTTTATTTAATCTAGATGATGAAGAAAATAAGTTAATAAATTCTATAATAAATTTGGAAAATAAATCATTTACGAACGATTATAATAATGATAACTTTGAATTTGATAAAATGGCAGGAGAAATATGGATATATCCAAATAATTTTCCTATACGAGATTATCAATATAATATTGTCAAAAAAGTATAATGACAAACTAATTTTTATCAGTATAGTATATTTTAGGCACTTTTCAACAACACTCTAGTTGCTCTGCCTACTGGTTTAGGAAAAACATTCATTGCAGCTGTTGTCATGTTTAATTATTATAGATGGTTTCCAAGGGGGAAGATTATTTTCATGGCCCCAACTAGACCTCTCGTTAATCAACAAATTGAAGCATGTCATAAGATAATGGCTACCCCAATTATTGACACAACTGAAATGACAGGTTTAGGGAATATGTTTTATAATCTTCCTATGATAAAATATACATATATATTTACTGTTATATATATTTTATGAATATGATGCTAAATTTTAAAATTCTGAAGCTATTTGAGTTTAGATATTAAATTACTATAATTAACAAGGTAAAACAAATCCTATAAAGCGAAAAAAATTATGGGCACAAAAAAGGGTAATCTTTCTTACACCACAGGTATTAGCAAATGACCTTATAAATCAATTATGTCCTGCTCATTTGGTTAAATGTTTAGTTGTTGATGAAGCTCACAGAGCATTGGGAAATTATGCTTACTGTCAAGTAAAATAATATTTTTATAAAATGAATTTTTAAATTATTTATCAGAATAATTGACTTTTTTAGTTATTATTTAGATAGACTATATATGAGAATTGATATTAAGCTTATAATTTTGGTATTTAGTTCTGATATTTATCATTACTTAATTTTTTTTACTCATATATCAAATTATACTAAATTATTATTTTTCAAATTGTTATTTAATAATCTCTTCTTGATTCTTTCTCTTTATAGCATACATCATATATTAGTCAAATATTTTTTTAAATATGGTCTGTTTAGCGTCTTTTTTGAATCCAAGCAGGAAAAAAATAATCTTAATTCTAAAAATATTGAAAAATATATTGATTAATTTAAATGACCATAATACATCATTTGACATTAATGTTTATATTCTATTTATCTGAAAATAGTATAATGTCGGTTCAAATAAATATAGGCCTGAATTGGAAGACATTCTTAGAAACTAATTCATACTTTATCAATTATTCTTATGTGTTTGTTGATTTTTGGGTTTAAAACACTGCATATTTTAAAAATATATATAGAAAATAACACTATAGTGTCATAATTACACCTGACTATAAAACATCCTTCTTAATTATAAAATATTTTAGTTATACAAAAATTAGTTTAATGGATTAAACAAACTTTGGACTAGTGTTGTTAAACGGCTCATTTTGAGCCGACAGCTAACAAATATTTTAGCCAGAAAAATATTGCCTAAGCCTCAGGATTTCAATAATAATATATGTCTAGCTAGACCTTTGTTCCTTCTATGAACAAAATCTTCAGGCTTGGGTGATATTTTTCTGGATGAAGTATTGAGTTAGCCGTTTTTAAAAATTGGCTCAAGATGAGCCGTTTAACAACACTACTTTGGACCTTAGTAAGAAGCAACATCTTTTGTCAGTTTTTATTTTTAAAATTATATTATAAACAATAATAATGTTTAAAAAAACTTACTAAATTTTCAAAATATATAATTTAATTAATTTATTTTACTTTTATAATTTTTTTTAAAAAAAATAGGTTATCCAAGAAATGCTTAAAGTTAATCAGGAATTTCGAATTTTGGCGTTAACTGCAACCCCTGGACGAGATATAAAGGTTTGTCTTTTAGGGCTCTGCCCATCCATAAATTTGTCACCAATCAAATCCGATAATTATATTGATTTTTTATTTTACCATCTATATTTGTGAAGTCACATAACTGACTTTTAAAAATGATTTTTTGTTTTCTCCAAAAAGTAATCATCTTATGATGGGAAATGTTTATGGGATGAATGTATTGTTATTAAAGATTTTTTAAAACAGTGAAATCAAGATTTTAGCTAAAATATACTTCTAAGCCTCGATAATAGATATCCAGACCTTTCTGTTGTCCGTGGACAAAATTTACAAATTTGACCAAAATCTTGAGTTAGCCGGTTTTAGATACTCTATTTTTCTTAAAATGTTGGTTCCTTTAATACAAAAATGTTATATATCATCTATATAAATCATTAAATAACTTTATTCTTCATCATCATTTAGTGTCCCTTTTCCAGGTACCTAGATAGTAGGCCATTTTCCCTTTTATTGCCTTCCTCCATTTTCCGCCACCCTAGGCATCATCACCGTGGGTCAAAGCTAACGTTTTCATGTCCTCTGGGTCTTGTTCCCTCCACTTCCATCAAATGGAATCTATTCAACCATTTATCCTTTGCCTTCCCCACTCAATATGTCAGGATTTTGGGGGAGATCATACATAAAATAATCAAAAACAATCAATATAGGATATCGGCCCGATCCGATATATTTTTTAAAAATGCTAAATAATTTCTATCCGGTATTTAATATTGGCATAACCCAAGTTATTTTATTTATGCATGATCACCTGACAAATCACCCAGTGATTTGGACGACCATTTTTAAAAATAAAAACATTTGGTATGGGGAGGCTGAATAGATTTTACATTTTATAAAAGTTGAAAACTCTAGCACTAATGAGAACCGGAGTTATGGGCCTTCAAAGTCCAATAAAGGCACCATCTTGGTTTATATGATCTCAAATTATAAAATAAACATTTTGTCAATAAAGTCACAAATTATATATCACATTTATGGCCCTTATAATTCTCCTTAAGAAAATACCAAAGTTATCCTGAGAAAGGCCTAATTTTAAACGACAAATAACTCACCAAATATGTTTATTACTAATATATTAAATATTTAAGTTAAAATATTAATGGAGAAAAATTTAAATTATATTTTTTAAATAAAAAATATTTCCATTTTACATTATAAATCATTAATATTTATATATAATTATAATATATACTGCTAGAAATTTGAAAAAAAAGACTTTTTTTGCTGCCACAATTAAAAGAAAATATATTCTAATAATTAATTAATATTTTTATTCCTAAAATTATAAAAGCTAAAATAAAATTTGAAATTCTTATTTTTTTTCTCTATTAAATATTTTTCTTATATATTTTAAATATATAGGTAATAAACTTAAACATATTCGGTGAGGTTCATCGTTTCAAAATTAGGCACTTCTCAAAACAATTATTTTTCCGTTTTACCGGAAATATAACGACACTTAAGATATTTTTCAAAAATAATTTTGGCATTTTCTAAAGGAGAATTTTGAGAGCTACAAAATGATATACAATTTATGATTTTGGACTAAAATTATTTTTGAATAATTTGAGATTCGTTAAAATAAGTAAAGGCTCTATTCTGACTATAAAGGCCCATAATTCAGGATATATTTGAGTTAGATCTTTAATATTTTGATTTGCGTAAAAATATACATACTATTATAACCTATATGCCGAGGTTTATTCATCTTAAAAATGGTCGTCCTAAAATCGCGTTATGCCATTCGATATGAATGTCTCGGAATTATCCATATCCACGCATATACAATTATTAATTAAATAATTTTGTATATTTTAGACTATAGAATCGGTTCTTAGCAACCTCTTGATATCTCACTTAGAATTTAGAACAGAACAGTGCTTGGATGTTCAACCTTATACGTTTGCCAAGACTATACATAAAATCGTTGTCCCGTTAACCCCTCTCATGGAGGGTTTCAAAGAAAAGCTAACTAACGTACGTTTTGTTGATATTTTTTTATTATCTCCAATAAGAAGACAGATCGATTGTACTGTCAATCACTTTTTGTTTTCCTTATTATAAATTTTATGGGCCATATATACAAAAATAAAATAATAAAAAAATTAAAAATATAGGTTTAGAAAATTCAGCAATACGCAGTCTTTTTTTTTTTTAAAAAAAATCACTTATATAACGCGCGTTTTTCTAATTTTCAAAGGCGGATTTTTATCGGATAGAGTTCCTACCTACCATGTGGATTTCAAACAATTTAGCCATAAATTTTTGTTGTATTTTTAAAAAAAAAAAATTTATTTAGAAGAAAAATATAAATTAAGTGTATTATAAAAGTTGACGGCAAAATTGTCAAAAATATGCAGAATAGATGGGAGTTATTATACCCTTATGCGGATATACCATAAATCCGATCTTTTTCATTTCAATATATAATATATGTTCACTTTTTTAAAAAGATTTTGGATATTTGTTCTCGGCGTTTGGTAGAGCAAAAAGTACTTTTTAAAACGGGTGACAGCATCGAAAATATGAGTAAATTTAGCTTGATCCAGGCCAGGGCTAGATTTCGATCAAGCAACAATCAAAAAAATGTAAGAAGATAATAAAGCATCAAATGTAAAATCGAATTATTCGCTTATTCATGTCCGAAATTATTTGTATCCGAATACTAATAAAATTTTTTAAAAATATTTATATAGAAATTTATAGGTGGATTGATAGAAAGAGATTTTGCCGTTTGTATCACACTTATCCACTCATTGGAACTAATCACGTTTTATGGTTTGAGGTGTCTACACACCTTTATCAAAGTTTGTCTTGTTTTATAATATTGTTAGATATATAATTTAAGCTGGTTGCGATATTGTAAAATTTGCAATAAAATTGGTAAATTATTTTTTTCCATGAGGATTGTAATAGTATTCAAAAAAAAATAGGAAAAAAACCAACGATTGTTTTTTTCGTTTTTTTTTCGGGGAAAAAACTGTTTTTTTTTCGTTTTTTTTCCGAGAAAAAAACTGTTTTTTTTTTCTTTTATTATAAAAGATAGTAAATATACTCTGCAATTGTTATTACAAACTATTTTGCCATTTTCTTTTTGCTGTTTCGCTAATTAAAAATTGTCAGGTACACTTTACCTATACAGTTTAGGACAGCTTAATCGTGACGTTTCGGAATAGGCCGATTCCTCGAAAACGTTGGAACTAGCGGATAAGTCAGCTGAACTGACGCGATTTTCTTTTTTTATCAGCTTTGTCTCTTCAAGATTGAACCGTTTTTTTTAGATTAACCCTTAAGACTGAGTCGATAGCTTTTCCGCTAAAACTTGGCTAAGGCCTTCTTTGGTCAAATAACGCGATTTAAGTGGTACAGGGCCGTGACAAGCTTAAGGTGTAGTGTTTTAAAACTATATCACCAAATAAATATGCTAAAAGCTATGTAGGCCCATTAATTAATTTTCCAATATTCACAAAACCAATTCGTACCGGATAAATTTTACGGAATATCCAAAAAATATTGGATCGGGTGGATCGGCACAGCCTTAAGATATAATGCATTATTATTTTAAAAAGGTGGTTTCGTTTTAACAATATTTAGGTATCGGTTAAAATTAGTTTTGTTAAAAGGCTCGTTTTAAGCCGATTTTTAAAAACGGCTAACTCAATATTTTAGCCAGGAAAATATTGCCTAAGCCTCGAGATTTTGCTAATAGATGTCCAAATCTTTGTTCATCCTACAAACAAAATCTTCAGACTTGCGTAATATTATTCTAGATGAAATATTGAGTTAGCCTTTTTTAAAAATCGTCTCAAAACGAGCCATTTAAAAACACTAGTTAAAATTTATCGGGCCCAATACTGATACCACGCACCCCTCTTTAAATGCGCATACCACTCCCCGTGGAATGTAATAATCTCGAAATTATAAAATACTCTTTCCGAAGGTTAAAAAAAAATTACTCTAGGGATCCATTACTTGTGATGATGTAACGAAATAATTTATAAACAATACTGAATTCTTTTTAAAAAGACATAGCCCTTCTATTCAACTTAATACAAAATTCGAGTCAAAAGTAGCGCTTGATCTGATATCAGAAAATTACTAGTGTTGTTCGGCTCGTTTTGAGCCGATTTTTAAAAACGGCTAACTCAATATTTCATTCAGAAAAATATTACGCAAGCCTGAAGATTTTGCTCATAGAAGGAACAAAGGTCTAGGCACATATTATCGAAATCTCGAGGCTTAGGCAATATTTTTCTGGCTAAAATATTAAATTAGCCGTTTTAAAAAATAGGCTTGAGCCGTTTAACAACACTAAAAATTACCCCGAAATATTTAGATACGCCTTCACAGGAAAATATGATTTTTTTAGTGGATAAATATTTTTATTGGAGAGAAATACCATTTGCAGGATCTAGCCCGGCTTTTTTTTTTTTAAATTTTCAAACCTGACCCGAATTTTTTGTGCTAGCAAATAAATTTATACTTATTTCTATTAAAGCTAAAATAATCATAATTCTGATCACCACTAATAAATGTGGAAACTTTATGTATAATTATTCTTTAAGGACTTTAAGCTTAATAAGATTAGACATCATTTACTTTATATCATATAAATAAAAACCTTTTTTATACAAATTTAAGGACATTTTTTTAGAATTTTAAGGCTTTTAAACTTTTTTTTATTCATTTTTTAAGGGCCGATAATGAATATTCCTTCCTTCTTTCCTTCCTTCCTTCCTTCCTTCCTTCCTTCCTTCCTTCCTTCCTTCCTTCCTTCCTTCCTTCCTTCCTTCCTTCCTTCCTTCCTTCCTTCCTTCCTTCCTTCCTTCCTTCCTTCCTTCCTTCCTTCCTTCCTTCCTTCCTTCCTTCCTTCCTTCCTTCCTTCCTTCCTTCCTTCCTTCTTTCTTTCTTTCTTTCTTTCTTTCTTTCTTTCTTTTCTTTCTTCCATTATCTTTTATTATATAAAATAAATGACAAAAATAAAATCAACCTAAATATTGGAATCGGTTCCATTTTAAATAAATATCGGACCGGATCGGTGAAAAAAATCGAGGATCGGTGCAGCCCTAGTATTTAATAAATATAAAACGCAAATCAAGAACTCATTGAACATGGAGCAAACCAAACCTCAAGTCCAATTATGCCTCGAGGAATCATCATCTTCGCTTACGAATAACTCACGTATCCTTACATATTCAGACGAATCAAACGAGCCCCAAAAGTCATCTCACGCGAAACCCGAAAATTCTACGAATAAAAATAATAAAAAGGGTTGTAATGCGACCAAAAGCGTACTAACCAAGATTCCCCAATTTCAAGTCATGTATGCCGAACTTGACGATTTTATCGACAGGACTAAAAAACGCAAAAAATGTCGGGGTCTAAATGTGGTTGATCATACCGGAAAAAAAGATGATGGCGATGATGATGATCGGATCGAAACGGAAACCGAACCTTATTTAGAGAGTCATCCCAAATTGGGTAAGCTTAAGGAACTGGTGGAGAAACATTTCGCCAAACATGCCCAGGGATCTACGAGAGGAGGTTATAATCGCATATATTGTATTATTTACTTCATATTTGCCACCTGAACCAGTTAAATTATCTAATACACTAGTCTTGATAATTCTAGCTCTACTAAACATAACCCCTCATTCACGGTTAGCACGAATTAGTGTTGAAGTATACAAATATGATTTACACTTCACCACGAATTGGCGCTAACCCTGAATGCAGGGGTAAGCTCTTCAGATTTTTTTTTTATATCAAGCTTTCTGAATTTTAAATGCGAATGTTTACCTTATTTAACTTCGTTAGGCTCAACCTCAAGCAACGTAATTATATTCTCTCAATACAGGGAAAGCGTTATCGAGATAAGCCAAGCCTTGAGTAGATCCCTATATCCTCTAGTCAAGGTGGGGACATTTCTGGGGCAACAAAATATGGGTAAAGCTCCTAAAAATGACTCGAAAAATTCGGAGGATATCGCGAATACAGGTTTTGATTTATAAAATTTATGAGATATTTTGTTACCCCCTCCCCCCTTCATATTATCATATGTAGTGTTGTTAAAAAGTCCGATTCGGATCGATTTGTCGAAACGGCCTGGTAAGCTTCGAGATTTGGCAAATAGATGTCCAAGCATTTCTGCCAGCTGTGAGAAAAATCTTTAGGTTTACATAATGTTATTTAGGTTATATTGGGTCGTTTTTTTTAAATCAACCCGAATCGAGCTTTTTAACAACACTAATCATATGAGCTAATTAAGAAATCGATTTAATATGTTAGAAGTAACATTTGGTTAAGAAATCATGTAACATAAAAGGAAAGAAAGAAAGAGAGAAAGAGAAAGAACAAAAAGGGTAAAAGATAAAATAAATGCATCATTTACACTAGTCCAGGGTTTAATAGAAGGAAAATATCAGAAAACCTCAGTGCAGGAACCCGGTCCGGTCCAGGGCTAGGTTTAAAATTAATTATTTTTTTTAAAAAAAGTTATAACAATTAATCAGCTGGAAAATTATATATAGGCGCGTTAGCCATTCATTTTACCTCTTCTTAGGTACGAATTTCCCTTTGAAACAATTTGTAAAAATTTAGCCAAAATTTATTTCCAAAATAGCGAAATTTTTAAAAAATTCCGAGCCGGACCCACAAAATGATCAAAAAATCTCTGACTCGGCCGTAGTGTTGCTAAACGGCTCATTTTGAGCCGATTTTTTAAAACGGCTAACTCAATATTTTAGCTAGAAAAATATTACCTAAGCCTCGAGATTTTGATAATATATGCCTACACCTTATGTTCCTTCTATGAGCAAAATCTTCAAGCTTGCGTAATATTTTTCAGGATGTAATATTTAGTTAGTCGTTTTTAAAAATCGGCTCAAAACGAACCGTTTAACAACACTACCCGGCCGGGAGAGAAAAAAAGGACATGAATTTTATTTTTTTTAAAATCCTTGCCTAAAATATCGTTCTCTACAGGTCTCCGACAAATATATTGGAATACATGTGTTGAGTCGTAATAGTAAATTTTGAAGTCAGTAATCAATAATTATTCTATATTTTTTTATAATTAGAAGAAAATAAAGACAGTTTTTCCGGGGAAAATAGTTTTCTAAACGATTCATACATGAATTTATCGGTGAAAAAATGCAAAACGGTTACTCAAAAGGATCAACTTAAGGTGTTTTATAATCTTCTTACATTTGCATAATAATCTCATAATCAATATCCATATGGAATATTTTCAAATTTTTTTTTATAAAAAAAAAGGTTTTAGCTAAATTCCGATCGGGTCAATACAATACTCTGGTATCGACTTGCGTTGGGGAAGAGGGCTTAGACATAGGATCGGTTGATTGTATATTCTGTTTCGATTCTGTTAAAAGTCCCGTCAGGTGATTAGTAATTTTTTTTATAAAACACGATTTTGAGAATGAATGAAATATAAGTTTGCTCGTTTTTTTAAATGTTGACCAAATGACCAGAATTTCTTATTATATATAGATTTTTTTTTGTTCTGGGACATAGTATGACTTTTTTTTGTAGGTTATAGTCAGGATTTTCCCAGTGGGGGTTAGGGGCATTTTTAAAGGGGGAGGTCGTCATTAAACTCCCCTACCCTTGGGTTCCGTTAAAGTAGCTGAATAAATTGGAAGAACTAATTCTAAAATCTATAGGGCTTCGTGATTTATTAGTACCTATGAGTACTCTATCCGGTATAGTAAGCTAGATTTATTTATGAAAATTTTATCAATATTTAATAAGCGGCTGAAAGCTTTTTCTCTGAAAAATTTTTTTAAGGATAATCATGGGATTTTCTTGATCAAATTTAACCTAAAATTCTGAATCTTTTGAGATTTTTGTGCTTAAACAAATCTTCCATGATAAAATCACAAATTTTTTGTGCTAACAATTAATTAAAAAGCTTGAAAAAGTTAGCAATTATGACTATTGTCACTTTTCTATAAGGCATGTCACTGGGATAATTTAACTCAGTTTACATTATATATTTTAACCCATTTTTGCTTCAAATTATTTTATTAAATGATGATTTATTAAATTTGAACATACTCGCATTATAACCTACAAAGATAAGAATCGAATATTTGCATTGTTCATATTTGTAGGAATCAAAAATGATAAAAACATTATCCTATTAGATTCGTCGATTTTCGATTATATTTAAAAATTAAATTATTTTAAAATATTTTCAAAAAATGATAAAATGGATTATTAAAATTTAAAAATCGAATTATTATAGATGTGGAAAAAAAGAAGTTAAAAAAAAATTTTCTTCAAGGATGCTATAAATAATTGGAAATAATTTCAAATATTCATGAATAATTTTAAATTATAAGAATAATTCGATCGAGATAAAAAAAAATTTAGATCTAGAATCGGATTGTCAGATAAATTTTTAAATCAGTATCATATACTTTTATATCTTGAATAGATGGTCAAAACAATTATCTTTTTATTCTCAATTCTTGTACATATGTATATATATATATATGTAGTATTCCATATCAAATCAACTGAAGATTCAACCCGACCCTCTTCGATTTTTTTTAAAATTTGCATGATAGTAGTATATACACTAACTAGCAATAATATAAAATTTTAATTCTCAACTCAGCTTACTTCATGAGAGGCCATCTTTAGAAACGCGAAAAGTTCAAAACACCATATTTAATTTTAAATATCTCAAAAAGTAATTAAGCTAAAGGTATAATTTAAACTTTATTAAATAACTCTAGAATAGCCCTTTAATATGATATAAAATTTATTATATTAAAAATAATTTTATTACCAAAAACCGGAAATAGAAAACCGGAAATGGTTATAAAATAAAAATTGCCCTCTTTTCTTTCAAAATTTTTTAACAAATAGACATTATATATCTTAATATTTGTACAAAATCCTAGATTGGGACCATTACTGGGCCAATAGTTATTACGCTTTAAATATAAATAGTATGGCTTAAATTCTATATTATACGAAATGAGTAATTATTTTTTTAACAAAAGTGATAATATTTGTGAATAATAGTAGTAAACTGAAATCCGAACCCCATCTTAAGATTTATATTCGCCCCCCCCCCCCAAAAAATTTCTTCTTAAATTCGAGATTTTTGACCTGGCAATTCTATGAGTGAATTATGTATATTATTTTCTTTGCCGGATAAAAAATTATCTTTGTGATCGTCAGAAATATATTTTCATAAAGATTATTTTCTACTTATAATTAATTATCAAATAAAATAATTATAAAAATCAAATTCAATTCCAACAGCAACAGCCGTCATTTTTATTGATTAATTTTATAAAGCCATTTTTCTAAGAAAATTAAATTATCGGTTATTTTTATCCAATTTATTTTTAATTTAAAATAATTATATAAAATTAATAGCTATCTTTTATTCCTTACCAAATGTCTAGAAAAGTTATTTCTATTCCAGTAAAGTGCTGTAATCCCTTTAGAATAAAATCTCATTCAGTACGTTACGATCTTAGAAATGTTTTACAATGGATGATAGAAGTGAATTCTAGCTTATCAATTTATCATAAAATTTGTAGCTCTTGCCGGAAAAAATTAAAAAAATATTCAACAAATCTGATCTCACCTTTTACTTCTACGATCGATCACATTACCTTCTATTTCTAACTTACCTTCTATTTCTAACTTACCTTCTATTTCTAACTTACCTTCTATTTCTAACTTATCTTCTACCTCAACTATTAATGAAACATTTAGCGATTCTGAACCTGATCAACCATGCAATAATCTCGACTCTTATACAGATTAATACTTCAATTTCAACTTTAAATGAAACTTTGCCATTTTTAGGGGAGACACCTATTAAAAAGAAAAGGTTAAATGAAAAAAAATATCCTGTAAATAAATTTTTGAAAATTCAGGGAAAAATTAAAAAGGTTTTTAAAATAAATCTAGAGGATCAAGCAAAAAAAGATGAAGCCGAAATCATAAATCAACTGAAAGAAAAATTTGCTACAAGTTCTCGCAATGAAAAAATACAAATTTTAACAGTTTTACCAAAATCTTGGACTCTTGATAAAATTGAAAAGAAATTTTCAACCACAAATTTTATGGCCCGGACAGCTTAACAATTAGTTGAAGAAAAGGGTGTTTTGTCAAACCCAAATATCATAAAACCAAGTAGAATAATTCCGGATGACATTGCAAATAAAGTAATAGAATTTTATACAAACTAATTCCCGGGACACAAAAATATCATTCATTTATTCCAATGGAAGGAAAAATGAAAGTCAAACGTTATTCTAATTCATTAGATAATTTAATGTATGATATTATTTAATTTAATATGTTTATAACAATATTAATTTTCCATTTGATATTCATGTAATATTAATAATTAGCTAAATAAAGTTATAAATATTTTTACAAATATTTTCTCTCTAAAATAAATTCGCTAAACTTATATGTTAAATATGACATAATGTCTACTAGTGGGCTCACAGCCCGAAACATTTATAAAAAAAATATAATCGGCCCCATCATAAAGGAATTTTCTTTTTATTTGTTTCGTAAATTACAATATATTTGGTATAATTTAGGATTTATACTATTTATATTTAAAGCGTAATAACTATTGGCCCAGTAATGGTCCCAATCTAAAATTTTGTACAAATATTAAAAAGTATAATGTCTATTTGTAAAAAAAATTTGAAAGAAAAAAAAGAGCAATTTTTATTTTATAGCTATTTCCGGTTTTCTATTTCCGGTTTTTGGTAATAGACTTTTTATTAATAAAAAATTTTTTATATCATATTAAAGGGCTATTCTAGAGCTATTTAATAAAATTTAAATCATGCCTTCAGCTTAATTACTTTTGAGATATTTAAAATTAAATATACTGTATTTTGGAATTTTCGCGTTTCTAAAGATGGCCATATTTCATGAAGTAAGCCGATTTGAAAAGTAAAATTTTATATTTTTATTAGTTAGTGTATATACTACTAACATACAAATTTAAAAAGTCGAAGGGGGTCGGGTTGAGAATCGACTTTTTTTGGTTGATTTAATATGGAATACAACATATATATATATTATTTTATAATTATTCAATTTATATTCCATAATAATTCACGTTTTTATATAATATTAAATTTAAGTACGTTATATTATTGCATGAAAAATATATTTCAAATAACGTTGAATATTATAACCTTTTAAAATATAACAATTACAATTAAAATTCAATAAAATTTTTGTGGTATATAATATATTTATTATAAAAATAAAAAATAAATAACAGGTATTTGCAAAGGATTGGTAGGACCGCCAGAATGAGAGCTGGCGACGTTTACGTATTTTTGACAAAGGGAAAGGAGGAAAAGGTAAACCTTTATTTACAAGTTTAAATCTATTTATTTTATATATGGAAAAAGGGTCTATATAGCTAATTTTTAGTCGGTAAAATTTAGTTTTTAGTCTTAACCTTTAGCTAAACCTTAGAGGAATTTTAAATAAATTAACTCGTTCCTCAATGCTTAGCTAATTTTCTTCGACACGTGACAGTTAATTGAGCCGGTTTTTAGCCCAAGTTTGGTGATGAGTTAATTAGAATGATTTGGTGGTCGAATACCTTGTCTACCTCTTTCCAAATAACTTGATCCAACCTAATAAACTATAAACATTTTCTCAACTGATTATGTGGGTAACTAATCTTTTCTATGCTACCTCCCCCCCCCCAATAAAAACAAACTTATCTCTATTTAAATCAAACCAAAAATAGCCTTATCGCCTTTGAATAGGGTAGAGAAGAAGACATCCACTTTTATATATAACAACAAGTTATTGAGCCCCTCTTTACTAACTCCATTGAAAATATAACATGATGTTTTCTTTTTTTTGCGTATCGTGTTCGTATTTAAAATGATTACACTGAGTGTTTTGAGTTGAATTAGCCATTTTTAACTCAAAGATATACAACCAAAGTTTGAGCAACAAGAAAAGCGTATTCAAAGCGCTCGAACAGCAAATTCTGCAACGTTTCAAAGACAAAAACAATTATAACCATAAAAATCATCGCAGTAACCCCAAAATTTTACCGCCCGGAGTCAATCCCAAACCTTGCTTAATGTACATAGGAGAGCTAGCGGTCTCTTTGCCACTCGATAAAGGCCCACCCGCAAATGATAAGCAAAAGTCAACCCCGAGTAAAAGTCGTAAAAATTGCGGCAAGGAAAATAGCAGCTTAGATAGGTACCCGGAGAAAAAGGAAGACTCCCATGAAATAGAATCGAATAACGCGCTCGTCCAACTTTATGATCGCGGTGATGATATATTCATTGGTATATTTTTTTATAAAAAAAAAATTTTATGCATCATTGTATATTTGATTTTATGATCATTTCCGGTTTTCGACATTTAAATTTTTTTAAAAACAATATTTAACATTAAATCTCTTTAAAGGCCTACCATTAAGATATATAAAGAAATTTAAATGACTCTCTCATTTATATCCAAAGATTTTTAAAATTAAAGAATGTGCATTTTGCCCAAAATGCACAGTTTTTTCTACCTTTATAAGGCCTCTCAGCTATTTGATAAAATTTTATTTTTTTAAAAAACTTTTCTAAATATTTAAAAATCTTGTGGGGGTCGGGTTGTCATGAAATTTAACATATAGGAGAGGGATTTTAATGAGGGTGGGAAGTAGAATATTGCCGAAACCAAGGTAATCGGCTTTTGAGGGTGAATAACAAGCCTTGGTCGAAGATTCCTTTAGGCGCATCCGTTTAGTGTTGTTAAACGGCTCGTTTTGACCCGATTTTTAAAAACGGCTAACTCAATATTTTAGCTAAAAAAATATTGCCTAAGCCTCGAGATTCCGCTAATTGATGTCTAGACCTTTGTGCCATCTATGAGCAAACTTTTTTATGGCTTGCGTAATATTATTCTGAATAAAATATTGAGTTAGCCATTTTTAAAAAGCGGCTCAAATCGAGCCGTTTGACAACACTACATCCGTTATTATTTGAATGCGCGAACAAAGTAAACTTTAAAAAAATAAACAGTCAAATATTTTTAGTTATTATTTGTATTCAAATATTATGATCGTCAGAGATTTCCAAAGAAGCTCCAGAATGTTAGGAATTTGGTTAGGGGGGTAGGGGTGATGGATCACTTAGAATGGTTATGAACATAGAATTTTGGAATTAGAAACAGCTGATTTCGCGCTCCTAGGATCATGGCTGTGAACCCTAGAAAATGAATTCGTGTTTACGTTTTAGTGAAAATTTTCTGAACCAGGTTCGGGTTCGGTTCCTTGTCCAGAAATTTTTTTTTTTTAATTTACATATAAAATTGGATACACAAAAAGTAAAGAACATTTCCACGGAAAAAAATGATTTTCACAAAAAAATATTTTCACACGCCCGGGTATATAAAAGAAATTCGGTTTTGATTTTAAAATTTCGTTCTTTCTTAAAAGAATACTTATTCGGCATTTACGGTTCATTTTTCAATTGAAATTATTTAATTAACGAGTGCCACATTTAAAAGTATCATCCATTAAATGAAGATTATTTTTTCATTTTAAATATCAAATTAAAAAGAAGTGAATATGTCTAAAGTGTAGGTATAAAATGAATCTTATTTTAATGCAATATTCTTATTAGTATCCCGATCATTTATATCAACTAACATTTTTCGGTTTTTAACCTTTCTCTTGTAAAGTAGTTATGATATAAACCTATCTTATCTATGTATAGTTAATTTGATATTGTGATAATTTGACTTCAAGATATAAATATGATTAAGTAAATAATTTGAAAACTATTTTATTTTTCTTTTTATAAACTGCTAAGTATTTTTCTTTAGATAGATATAAAACTGCATTGTTAATAGAATCCTACCCTACGCTATTTAACAGCTGAGCGATTTAAAAAAAAAATCTTTTAATGGGGATCAAATTTTTCTTTATTTAAAATCAATAATTTTATAAGATTATTATTATTATGAGTAGAAATAAAAAATTACTATTAATAAATAAAATCTTTCATAAACAAATTTATATATATATATATATATATAATATTCGTAATTTAAAATATTCGGCCCAGCCCGGGTTTTATATTTTCGGGTCGGGTTCGGATATTTTCCAGGCTTTTTAAAAAATATTTTTTTAGGCCCTTACTTGGGTATTTGGTCTGTAGGCCTCTGATTTAATAGTTAAGAATTCAGGATGGTATACTACCTAAATTCTCGGTTTTTACTTTTGGAAATTTCGGTGATGAAGCCATATACCATATTGGGGAAAATTCAGGATAAAATACTTCATTTGCCTTTTGTATACCACATTATTGCGACTTTCAAGTTCGAATACTGGCTAAAACAAATCAATCTTTTACCGATTGGTAAAGGTCCAATCTTTATATTTCTTTGCGATAATTATATCGTATCTTCTTTTGGTTAACTTGTTAATAGAGGGTTTTTTTCTTTTTAGCTTCTAATTATGCTAAAAAGTACAGTTGCTGTATAATTATTAAAAGTACTCTATAAAATTTATAACCCAAAGAATTAATAATTTCTGTTACAGGTAAAGATGGATAGAGTCTTTTTTTGTCGTTTCACTCAATGAATCGAATGAACAAAATTTAATCCACAATTTTCCTGATAATTTGTTGCAAATTTCGTTTATCTTTGGATATTGTCACCTTTGGACCATGACGGGATCAACTAATTTATTAAATATTGACTCTGATCTTTTCTCTGCTTAGGTAAAATAATTTTCGGCTCTGGCTGAAAATATTGATTCCTTCTTCATGTATCAAGAATTTCTTCTGCGCAATTGGATCAATTGGAATTCCACCAGGCATTTAAAATTGAAATTAAAATATAATTGTGAAAAAATAAAGTTTGAAGTTTTACCAGATGATCTTACCTTTATTCTAACATTAGTTATGACCCGCATTTGCAACATTGACTGAACACGCAATTCAAAAACGGCGTTATTTTTGAATTATAATTTTTTTTTCTTCTATAAATTGCCATAATTTAGAAAAGTGACCTAAAATAAATTGTTAAATCATCATTGGAATCTTGAAAAAAATTACCATTATCAAAATATTTGGGTCAAATTATAACTACATTACTATTACGTTGCCCGCTTACTCAGACTGAATTTAGATACTACAAATGATATATATTCAACTACTTTATTTATAATATTTCCACGACTTCGATAACAACAACTTTATTAATATTTCCACGAATCAAAATATTATTTAAAAATATTATAATTTTATAAAGCGAAAAAAAAAATCAATTGAAAAAAATTACAATTTAGCTTCCCCTTTATAGGGAAGAAAGCAATAATCATCACAAATAAATAATTAAGCTAAAAATAACTTTTAAAATTTACAATTTCTCATAACATCATGAGCATATCATAACTAATTTTTGTACATCTAAAAATAACATATTAACTCGATTTAAAAAAAATATAATTAAATACGCGATCATAATGATTCCAAATTTAATTTTTATAATCTAAAAATAAAATTAAAATATAAATAAATACTTATTCATCAATTAGTTTCTAAAATAACTGAATATATATCGACGTCGTCATCTCCCCAAATACTGACTCACTTAGAACACATACAAAATTTTGCATGCAAAGATTGGTAAAAGTGACAAAAATGTAAAACCGGTGTAGTATTTGTAAACTCAATACCATTTAAAATCACTTACGGTATTGATTCTTCAATATTGTAGTGATAATTTATGATCGATTGATAGTTAATGCTACGAATTTTATTAATGTAATAATTTAGGCAAGGTATGTATAACTCAATAATAAAATTCAATTATATCATGATATTATGGCGATTTCAGCAGATATAATCAATTTTTAATGCTATAATATTGAGAACAATAAACGCTACCTTGCGGATTAAACATTACAGAATTATATTCTCTTTTTTTCTAATTTAAAACTTTTCAGTTTGGTTTATTGGTTATATTTATAAATATCTAAACATTGTTTTTACCTTTTATCACTTTCTATTTTTTTTTCTTAATTTTTATTTTTTTCTTACTTTTTATTTTTTTCTTACTTTTTATTTTTTTCTTACTTTTTATTTTTTTCTTACTTTTTATTTTTTTCTTACTTTTTATTTTTTTCTTACTTTTTATTTTTTTCTTAATTCTGAAGGCAAAAGTTTCATGTTAGGTAATATATATACGTTTCCCTAACTTTCATATAAAAACCTTTCATATAAAAAATTGCGACTGAGAATAATTGCGACTTTTTTATGATTGGTTGTGATAATTGCGACTTTATACCCATTGGATATAAAAAATTAAACGTATTTATAATATATATTTGAAAAATCGTGATTTTTGGAAAGCCTCTATGGCCTAGTAGGCAAGAACTTGGCTTACTTATCCCATGGTCCCGGGTTCGAATCCCGGAAATGGTCATGTTTTTTTTCTTATTCTAACTTGGTGGTTCCATCCTTGGGGGGATGATATATAGGAGGCCTGCTTCGACCACGTGATTCCGTATTAATATATTAAATAATAAAAGTTTTATTACATTTTAATATATTTTGGTCGGTATTTAGCAAATTAGGTTGGTATTTAGAATATTTCCATACATTCACTCATTAACTACATAAAGTCGCAATTATTTATATGAAAGGTTTTTATATGAAAGTTATACCAACCATATACATATATAGTAATAATCTTTATTATTGAAATTTCCACATAATCCTAAACGAGGAAATAATATTCAAAATTAAAAATAAATATTACGTGATACGTGATAAAAGCATTTTCGCCCTCTGGTTGTGGATACAATAGAGCTACGCTAGGTTTTCCTCAAAAATCCATCAAACTGGATAGTTAATTAAGAGGACTAAAATGAGGAACCCTTCACACGTTTGTGGGCAAGCTGCACCTACTTGTACGCGCAACAGTCCGAGAGCTGTTGCTTAAACGTCTATAGACTAATAAACAAAAAGAAATGGGCAAAACAAAAGCCTATTCCCAAGAACTGCAAAAATAATTTAAATACTTTAAGGGTGGGTTGTGGCTAATTTTAAGTTTAATTGATAATTACTATCAATAATTGAGAATGTGTTCATATCGATTGAGATTATAATTTATTCATGAAAATAAGAAAAAGCTAATGGGTTACCACAAATTGTTTAAATAGGTGAAAATTCTAGTGAATAGGCAAAAACTAGTCAGTAATAGGTTTATGACTATCCAGCAACGAACACCACACAACAAAGTTTTTTTTTTCTTTTTCCAGAGAAACAAAATACTCTATGGAGTGATAGATAGATTATATAGCGAAAAAGGTCTTGATAATGATAAAGATATGAGAGAAAGGAACTATGGCGCAGAAATAGGAACCAGTTCCTTAAGTTTTAGGAAATGGAAAAGTAATTGTTGGCCAGGATTAACAAAAGGCATTATGGCTTGATTGTTATATGATAGTCTATCACTGACGGAAAGACTCTACCAACAAACATAATTACAAACCTCGCCACCCCCCCCCCGTCGACTGGTTTCTCCATAAATGAAATAACAAGTGGTCAAAGACTAAGAAAAAACAAAGCTCCGGGGCTAGATAATATCACAGCAGAAAAACCAAAAATAGCACCTATAACAATATCGCTACCTATTTGCCCTCTTTCAAAAAAATATGGGAGAGCGGAACTACTGCAGTGGGATGGAACAAATCCTACCTAAGTAACTACCCAAAAAACTAAGACCACAGAAATTAAAGGGTTATTGAGCTATAGCCATCACATCCTGTAGCATGGAAAAATTTTTTTTGGTTTACTCAAAAAACCACAAGCATATCACCTACACTGAATCTCCCCCCCCCCCCCCAAATACATAAGTATATACAGGCCAAGAAAAGAAAATACTGGAGCCAAAAATTTCAGAAAAATAATCATGCAGAAAAAGTAAGTACAAACCCCCTTCTACTTTACATTTGTAATAGCAGAGCTATTGATAATGTTAACCATGCAGCTTCGTTATCAGAAAAGGGAAGACCCCAACATCTTCCAGATCCAGAAAACCACTAATACATGTTTGGATGCTTCGAAATCAATGACGAAGAAAATCCCCTACCTCCAAGGTAAAAAGGAGTAAAACAAGGCTAAACTCTCGCCACTCCTAAATAAATAAAAATAAAAACAAAAGAGAAACACTGGGAACGACCAATGTATTATATGTAGACTCCAACTAAGATGTAATGTTTTGAAAAAGAAAAAAGTTAAAGACGTTAAATCTAGTTAACTAGCAATTATAAAGAAAAATAATGAATTGAATAAAAAAAACAGTTTTCCTGCTTATTTTTTCCAAGAAAAACATGTAACCACTTCAAAAACTTATAGTTAGAACAGGGTAAATGTAGTCACAATGTACTTAGGAAACATACTTAATAATAAAAGTAGTTGCAAAGAAGAAGAAAAATTAGAATACAAAGGCGAGTGGAAACTTTTAAACGTATACAAAAATTATGGAAGATAAGGAGAAATCGGTATTTTCTAGACTGAGGGCACATCCACTATTCCTATATTAGAAATAAAAAATAAATTAAAAAAATAAAATAAAAGTAATAGATGACTATAAACAAATAAATGTCTCATAAACAAAAGAGGATACCCTCTACCCCAGAAACATTTCGAACTCAAAAACTATGGAAAAATACAAAACATACCCAAAAACGAAGTTAAAAAGAGCCAAAGATTAATTCTAGCCCACATAAGAAACGCAAATCACAAACTATTTCTCAAATGCCATTAATATATCTTAACTCATATAATGGGAAATGTATAGAAGTACAACAACACCTAAGACATTGTATATGTAATTAAAAATATGGGACGGACTGATTTAAATTAGTACATTAAGTCAATAAGATAAATAAAAGCTAATGTCAGTGAAGTAAGTAATTCACAGAAAAGGTGAAAGACAAAGTCAGGAGGTAAATTGAGAAATGAAGAAATTAAATAACCTGAAAACAGAAATAAAAAAAATAGAAAAAAAAAAAAATATGAGAGGTTTAGGTAGTTCGATTTAATTTTTAGTAATTTCTTTATAGATTTTTTGTTTTTATTTAGCCTTAGGAACTGCTTCAAATTTAAGTTTAGATCCATTATGTCCTTCAAGGTTCTGTAGAACCATAATGTCTTATATTTGCAATATGTTTTCCCATTAAAGGAGTATAACCAATTAATGGCATCAATAACGAGGCTATTGTTACTATGGTTGGGCAAAGATAGTAAGACGCCTCTTTTTTAAAGACTGAACTTGGGTATGGTTAGACATCTTCCAAAGGTTTTCATTTGAGATAATATTAGGGTAGAAAATTCCATTTATTATTCTTAGGCATTTATTTACAAACGTTTGTAATTTCCTAGTTTCGGTCTTGGTAATCTCCCATGTAACACCGCCATAAAAGAGAATCGGGATGATGGTTGAGTTGAAAATACGGAGTCTTGTGAAAACTGATATCTCTCTAGCTTTCCACAGTTTAAAAAATTTATAAAAAGCCGCCCTAGCATTTTGTATACGAATTTTTTGTTCCTCTTTACTACCTTTATTGTCAATGGTTACACCTAGATATTTAAAGGATTTCACCACCTTAACCAACTTTCCCCCAACCGCCAAATTATTCAGAAGAGGCGCCTGAGATGAGGGTATTATCACTGTTTTATCAAAGTTTATATCCAAGCCAACCTTAAAACTAAAGAAGTTCAATATAGAGATCAAATTTTGGGTTTCTTCCAAACTTTTTGTTATCAATACTATGTCATCAGCATAACATATCACCCTATTTTCCAAGAAGAACGACTGACTGGACCTTGTTTCTAAGAGATTCGCAGTAGCCAGAGCATCTACTATGATTTTATTCATAAGTATATTAAACAATAGCGGGGAAAAAACACACCCTTGTTTTACCCCTTTCTTTGTCCTAAAAGATGGAGAAACCTTATTATTAAGGAGGCAAAAAGACTACTATAATGTGTTTTAAGGATCCTTATAATATTAGAGTCAATGCCACATTCGGTTAAAATCTTCCAAAGCGCATCATGGTTAACGTTATCAAAAGCACGTTTAAAGTCGATAAAAATAAAGTAAAAAGGTAATTTATACTTCTCACATTTCTGCATTATAATCTTTAAAGCTAATATTGGTTCGTTTATATTTCTACTTGGACGGTAAGCACAAATGTATTTAGACAAAAGGTTTGGTGTAGAGGAAAGAATGCGGTTTTTTAAAAGAACCATAAAAACTTTTGATGCAATAGACGTGAGAACAATGGCTCTATAATCCTTGAATTTAGATGGATTTGGAATTTTCGGGAAGTTGCAAAAGATAGTCCTATTCCAATCCGCTGGCATCATCCCAGTAAACCATATCTTGTTTAAAAAAGGCAGTAAGAACCGAGAGATCGCTAAGGGAGCTGCTTTCAGATGTTTTCCTGTAATGTTATCCGTACCCGGAGATTTATTATTCCTAAGCTTCTTAATAGTGGCCACAATTTTAGCCAATGAAAAGTTTGCGTCCAATTGTCCAACACTTTGACTAGTGGATGAGATTAAGGTATACCTCCTAGAATCAAAGACTCCCATATAGTGATCCAGCCATAACGCCATCTGTTCATCGGGGTCAGTAATTAACTTATTATTATCCAGCCTTATAGTTGGAAGTGTCTTGAACACTTTGACTTTACAAAAGTAATTTAGTTTCTTGTAGGCGTCAAAAGTTATATTCTCCCTCATATTCCTGTCTATCTCAAAAGCTTTTTTAGCAATAAAAATCCTTCTATCTCTCCTTAGGAGTCTATGAATTGAGGTCCATAAATGACCATCGCGCTCTCCTTGTAGCTTGAGTGAGCTATCATGCGAATGATGTCATCGGATAGCCATTCCTGTCTTGGTGGAGAAATGTTGATGTTAGGGAGATGATTGCAGGCATCAAACAAGTTGTTTTTGAAAGACGCCCAACATTCTTCAACAGACTGAGACTCCGATGAAGATAAGAAAGTTGCCTCCCTATCATTTAAGATTAGATCGAGCTGTAGTTTGACTGCAGGACGTTGCAGGTGTTTTGCATTCCGGAAAGGTATCTAGGCTGGGGTTGAAGAGAAGGACGCCGAGAGTTTCCCCATAAATTTCTCACAGTAATACTGGCTCTGATTAAGTTATGATCAGAAATATTAATATTAGGCATTGCTTTTACATCGATGAACCAGCTATGAATGTTCGAGATGATAAAATCGATCTGAGATTTGGTATTATTTCTTCTGAAGGTTAGGGTGTTAGATTCGCTGTGTGAAAAGAAAGTATTTTCAACCTTGAGGTTTATACTCCTGCACATCTCCAATAACTTCCTACTGTCATCACTGTTTAATTGAGAGAGAGCTGCATTCCCAATTACCCCATCTCTAATAAAGAAGTCATCTTTTCCGATCCTAGTATTTAAGTCCCCAAGGATTATCAAATTACGACTCCTAGGAAGAGAGCTAACAATGTTTTCGAGGTCATCAAGGAATGCGAGCCGTTCGTTTCTTCTAGGCGGGGCATAGACATTAACTAAGATTGTTTGTAACAGTGATGACAGTAGGAAGTTATTGGAGATGTGCAGGAGTATAAACCTCAAGGTTGAAAATACTTTCTTTTCACACAGCGAATATAACACCCTAACCTTCAGAAGAAATAATACCAAATCTCAGATCCATTTTATCATCTCGAACATTCATAGCTGGTTCATCGATGTAAAAGCAATGCCTAATATTAATATTTCTGATCATAACTTAATCAGAGCCAGTATTACTGTGAGAAATTTATGGGGAAACTCTCGGCGTCCTTCCCTTCAACCTCAGCCTAGACACCTTTCCTGGAAAAGGAACGCAACACACCGTGCAACGTCTTGCAGTCAAACTACAGCTCGATCTAATCTTAAATGATAGGGAGGCAACTTTCTTATCATCATCGGAGTCTCAGTCTGTTGAAGAATGTTGGGCGTCTTTCAAAAACAACTTGTTTGATGCCTGCAATCATCTCCCTAACATCAACAATTCTCCACCAAGACAGGAATGGCTAATTGATAACACCATTCGCATGATAGCTCAACTCAAGCTACAAGGAGAGCGCGATGGTCATTTATGGACTTCAATTCATAGACTCCTAAGGAGAGATAGAAGGATTTTTATTGCTAAAAAAGCTTTTCAGATAGACAGGGATATGAAGGAGAATAGAACTTTTGACGTCTACAAGAAACTAAATTACTTTTGTAAAGCCAAAGTGTTCAAGACACTTCCAACTATAAGGCTGGATAATAATAAGTTAATTACTGACCCCGACGAACAGATGGCGTTATGGCTGAATCACTATATGGGAGTCTTTGATTCTAGGAGGCCTACCTTAATCCCATCCACACGGATAACATTACAGGAGAACATCTGAAAGAAGCTCCCTTAGCGATCTCTCGGTTCTTACTGCCTTTGTTTAATAAGATATGGTTTACTGGGATGATGCCAGCGGATTGGAATAGGACTATCTTTTGCAACTTCCCGAAAATTTTCAAGTAATAATGAATGAATGTCTGTAATTTTTCAATTTCCAATATCATCTCATATCATATATCTTCATATATGACAAAAATTTTGGAAGCAAAAATTTTTTTTTCACTATTTTCACTCAATTAGTAGCACTGAATAAACTATAAACTAATAATCTAAAATAATGCAATTTATTTTTTTCGCGATAATATTAAAATATTTAAAAAAATACAAATAAATAAACTATTATAAAAATGTATAACCGAAACATTCATCAAATAAGCATCATAAACTATCCTAAAAATAAGTAATGTATATTGTTTAATATTATATATATAAGTGTATTGTTTAAAATACCACTCCAAAACCAACAAAATCTTTTATTCACTAATATATATCAGTCGATTATATGATCATATGATCAAGAACAAAGAATAATAAATGTTATCTTATTCGAAATAAATTTAAAAACGTCTATAAATGTCAATTATACATCAACAGACACAACATAAACTTAATCTATAAAATAAAATATAACAAAACTTACAATAATTATTTTTAATATGAATGCAATAAAAGATTTAACCCATTAATTAGTAAATTAAAATATAATTATTAATTTATATTTACTTTCATACTATCCATTTTTTTTAAAATACTTGTTATTTAGATTTACGGATAGAAAATTAGAAATTAATTTCAGGTATTATATTGATCATATGAGAGAGCTGTAATTAATATTGCATCATGAAAGTTTGATTGCTACTAGCAATGTTTAATTGAATATAAAAAAAATTTTCATAAAACATAGCGCAAGATACATATACTCCCCCCCCCCCCACTTTATAAAAATCAATTACTATAAAATTAAAAAATAGCAAAAGAGTCGTCTTCTAAAATGGCATTCACTAAACCCACTAAATGCAGTCCGTAGATCCTTCTTACTCATTTATACCCATTGCCTGCTCCACTCACCACCTTCGGCAACAAAGCTCAATGCTTAAAGAATTGAGTAGACGAATTCGCGAAAAGACCTATCAACCTAAGGAATCCCTTTTCTTACGGCAAAGACTTGCTACCGCCATTCGATCCAACTATCTAAGTTTTATCTCTTCCATTGAATCCATGCTTACGTATAGTGTTATTAAACAGCTCGTTTTGAGCCGATTTTTAAAAACGGCTAACTCAATATTTTAGCCAGAAAAATAATATCTATGCCTCGAGATTTCGTTAATAGAGATGTTCAACCCTTTGTGCCACCTATGTGCAAAATCATAGCCGTTTTTAAAAATCGGCTCAAGAGCCGTTTAACAACATTACTTACGTATACTTTCTTTCCTTCTCCTTCCAAGTTTTTATCTACTATTTACTTTTTTAGGCATCCCTTTTCATAAATTCTATTTCTATATTGTTTAGTCTTTATTAATCTCATCTTAGAAGAAAATATTTATACGCCATTATCTTTTGATAATATATTATATCACCTATCATTCAAACAAAGGAACCAATGAACAGTAAAAAAAAAATTCATCAATACCATATTTTCAAGCATCTTTTCACTTCTGAATCACCTATTATAATTATTCCTATTGAAAACGAATTTAAGAAATTTTTCAGAATTAATAATAAAGTTTTAATATAATGCGACAAAGGACCTATTTCATAAAAACATACGAACTGGGGTGCCAATTTATTATCTCCTTTTTTTACGTATAAAAATTAAAATTGTAAAGGATTATGGAAATTTATAACATGCTCTTCAAGTAAATATTTTCAGGTCAGGCCATTTGCATAACCAGAATCTTCCTGTAAGGGGGGAAAGCACTATTAGGTGGAGTTTTCCTTCATGAATTTTATTGGAGATCTTTAGGTACACTTATTTTAGTAGGTCTTTGCCTATTTTTACTCTTACCTTCTGGAACCTATCCACTTATCGCCGTCTGATGGGAAAAGACCAGATGGGTTCACAAACATTTATTTGGAATTTCATTTGTGCCTCCCAATTTTCTCCTCTAACCCAAACATTGATCCGTTTATTACAGCTGAAAAGTCAAAAATTAGAAAGTACCACGACTTTTCTGATTTTTCACTTTATCCCAATAGTTATTTCTATCAATGGGTTCCCTAGGTCCCCTAAGCTTTCATTTTTTTAAAAGATTTTATTTTGGGTAAAAAAAAATTCTCAAATTAATGGTGATCATGGGTCCTCTTTTAAAATGTTACAATCAAGTCACGCCGTGTTTCTAGGCAACTATCTTAGTTTCCTCGGATCTCAATGAGAACCTTTGTTTCCCCCCCCCCTCCCTTTTTTTAAAACTTATTTTTTTCTTTCATTTTTTAATTGTTTATTTAATTTATTTTCATTCTTTTTTTTTAAAAAAATATAGATTTATATATCACCCTATTTTTTAACAAATAAAAAGAAAAATTTAGTCTTTTTAATACTGTTAAAAATTCCCTTTATTTCATTTATTCTTATATTATTTTTTTTTTTACATGTCATTACCATAATAATATTAAATATAATGTTAAATATTTATTTATTTATATATTAATCTGATATACAATCTCGTTTGAGCATAATAATTTTCCGCATTCATGATTACGTAAATAATCAAGAATATTTCATTTACTATCACATTTCCTCTGTTAATTGCCGTTCAACTGCCATCGTTGAAAAGGTTTCTTGATAAAAGATAATGTAAATGATGATAATTGGATACTATATGCAACACCTCATATAAGCATATCAAGGAATTTGCTTATTTAGTTTTGCATTTAGTTAGCTATCCTCCATTGGAAATTTTTTTTTAAAATATTACTTTTTCTTTATTTCCACTCTCTTTTTTTTTGATATGACATTGACACTAACAACTTCAATTTACGCCTTTTTTTTAAGCCTTGAAATTTTCTCATATAGATGGTAGAGAGGTTTGGCCCTTTTTGGACCAAATATCGAGGCCATGGGTCAATTTTTTTTTAAATAAAACTGTTTAATCGATATTTTAAACAACTTTTAGTCAGAAGTTAGCTTTGTAAGTATTGATTGGTATTAATAAATTGTTGGAAGGCTGCGCGGAATAATATTAGGGCAGATTTTCTCCGTTCTGCGTCGTATACAGCGCATCATAGTTTAGGTTAGAGGGTGCGAGTGGATCTACACTTGAAAAGTTCCCGGTGCGATTTCTCAAATTGCTTGTTTGGAACAATTCCTGCATTAATCCAATAGCTTCCTCCAACCGAACCTCTAACCTTCGGAAGCATCAAGGGTAAGTTAAAAATAGCTAAATAAACTTAAATTTCGGCGCCCCGATAATTCCAATCCCATTGGTGTACCCATAACCGTAAACCAACCGAACAATCCTATGAAGGTTTTCCTGCGAGATGCTTACCATAACCACCCCCAAAGCCAATTACTTTTGTTTCAACGGTAGTCTTCTTTCCCCCTTACCCCATACCAACAAATCCTTAATTTTGAAAATGTTTTTAAATCTGATAAAATTTATGTTTTTATCCTTTCATAAAAAAAATTTAAGGGTCGTTTAAAAATAAAAAGCGGGCTAAAAACCCGGTAGACAATTTCCACCATCCGCTTTAGAGTTTTTTTTTGCTCCCTAAATCTTTGGACAAAAGCTTTATTCTTACCAAAATAGGGAACTAATTAAATAAGTAACGTTTAATTATAAATATTACTATTTAACTCATTTTTATGAAATCGATCATGAATTCTTCCATTTTTTTTTCCCACAATCATTTATAATATTTTTTTTTTAGAAATGGCTAACGATGAAGAAATGGATAATCAAGTACAAACCGAAATTTAATGTTTTTTCTATATTTTTGAAGTTTACTTCAAACAATTTTCTGGGAAAGCCATTTTTTTTAGAACACTACACTCCAATCTGGCTAACATGTGGTTACTATATTTAATTTAAATAAGATGGAGGCCCCCTTCTCCCAATATAGATTTTTTTATATCCTAACCTAACTAGACCAAAAATAAATGTGCATGAACGAGGGGATGGAAGATTTTATCTTCACGTATCTTAGGTAGAGTATCAATGACATATAATATAAACAAAAATGAATGTAAAATTATTATATTTATATCGTATTTTGTATATTTCGCCCGCGAATTCGCGCTCACTGTGAATGACAGGGTTATCCTGACTGACGATTCTTTCATCAATGCATCTTTGAAACATTTTTACTTATAAATTGGCATAGCACGCCATTTTGGTTTCTTCACGTAATTTTTTTTATAAAAATTTTAATGTAAATTGTTTACATGGAGGAAAAATTAAAATCGCGTGTCACCAGCTGATTTGTATTGATACTCATTTTAAATAAATAGATCTCAATCTAAGTAAGTATTATATGTCATTGTAGGATATAAGTCCGAATTTGATTTACTTCCTAAACCGTTCCGCCGGGAATTGGCACTAAATGTGAATGCAGGGCAGAGCGATGCGTTAAGATATTCCTGTCCAACAAAAAAAACTTAGAATCAGTTTCGTTTTTTGATATTTTATACGTAGGATTAAAATGGGGGTTTTTTGAGGGGTAAATAACTAAGTGGTTGCTGATTCGTTATTTCAATTCCAATCATTTTTTTTGTTGTAAAAAAAAAATAATACAAAAAGCTTAATATCGATATTCCTGATCACCATAACGACTATTCAATATCTGACTCCTGTAATGACGAGGGTAATGCCTTAGATTATAATGCCCGCGTTGATAAAACCATACTCGAGGTCATTGGCAGAACTTGCGACAATCGTCTTGAGCCCGAATCCCGCCACTCCAGTCGTTGTAACGACGCGAATCGCGACGGCGATATTTCGAAAACACCGGAAGCGCTTGGAAATGCTGGCAGCTTAGATTCGAAAGGACCGACCATTAACATTTTTCCGAAAGTGCAGAAATGCGAGGTAGCAAATAGATTTAAAGATAATTTGTCCGAATACAAGGATTTGCTGCGGTTCGATTCGGACGAAGATGAAGAAACGGCAATTTTGCCAGGTTATTTTTGGAAAGATTTTTTTAAAAGGAAATGATGAAATAAAAAAATAAAATAATCACATGACCAGAAATTGTTTTAAAAAAAATGACGATAAGATAATAGGTCAGGGGCCCTGAAGTGCCCTTTGTTACGTTGTGGTTCTTTATAAGTGTTGCGTTCTTTGACTCACTTTTCGCTTCATTTCTTGTTTTTTATTATATCATATATAGAACACTTTCTGTTAATAATTCTTTTTTAAAAAAACATGTTCTGTTTTCTATTAAAAATCGGTCATTTTTCTATCACCGGAAGTTCCAGTTTCCTCGTAATAATTCTATATTTTTTAAAATATATAGCAACAGGTGAAGTATCTGTTTATCCAGCGAACTCGATTATGAAAAATCATACGGAAAAATTTCTCGCGAACGTTAACGATTTCCATAACGCGAATACCGGATACCACGAGAACGATTTAAACGAACAAGATTTCGAGTCTTCTCCCATTTTTGATTTAACACCCCCGGCTTATTTCACAAAGAAGAAAGATTACGGTTTTTCAATTCTATTTATTTTAAAAAAAAACCAGTGTGGGGGAATGGGATGGAAGTAATTTTCTTCCCCTAGTAACACTTATAAATTGAAGCCTTAGCTTTTTTACCGTAAATTTCATAACGCAATTGGTAATTTTTCTTTTAAAAAAAACGCAAAATGGGGTAGACGTAATTTTCTTCCCATGAGATAACGCTTATAAATTGAAGCCTTAGCGTTTTTACGATAAATTTTCATAATACAATTGGTAAATTATCCTTTTTAAAAACAAACGCAAAATAAGTATGTGTTTTTAAAAAAAAAAATTTCCATATATTTAAAAATAAAAAATATATAGCATTCCAATTTAAATAACCTGTTATTTTTTTGAAAGAAAAACACAACTATAAATTGCTCTGCTCAATTTGTAAGCTCTATAAATCTTAAAGGGCAGGTAAGTAAGGTCTCGGAGTTCAAACCAATTAGAAAAAAGGCCCTTTGTAAGTTCCCAAATTAGGGAAGTTTTATTAAAGTTAGAATAAATTATTATATGTATAAGGTGTTTTTTTAAGATCATCAGTTAAAGTTTTGATCATATTAATGATAAAATAAATAAATATTTCATAAAAAAATTTTTTTTTTTCAGAATCGTTAAACAAATCGCCCATATTTACTACCCAAAATGTTAAGTTCAATCACGATTCAAATTACGCTGCCTCATGCCACTTCGATTTAGAACTGTCTCCTCCTACCAACGGAAACGTCAATGGCGATATGGATTATATTACATTATGCCACTTCGATTTAGAACTAGCTCCTCCTTATAAGGGAGACGTCAAGCGAGATGCCGATATGGATTACACTACCCCCTGCCACTTTGATTTAGAACATTCTCCTCCCTTGAATATCATTAAAAATGGCGGGTTTACAGATCCTGAGCATCGAAGTTCTGATAAATTGGCAGACGCTTATATCGATAGAATAAAGAATGATGTTGATATTATGAATCGTGGTGATAGAAGTATTCCTAGCAATGTGAATAATCCAAACGAGTTATTTGACGACAAAAATAATGATAGTATCAATGATTTGTTAGCCGATAAATATCCAACAAATCATAATGATAAACCTCTCGACGTGAGCTCCGATTTATTCGCCGACGAATGTGAAGATGATCTAATGGGTCTAAATCTGGAATCGAACGATGCGCAAATTCTTGCCAAGAGCGACAAAATAGAAAATCCCAATCACGACACTTTTCCTCATCTTAATTCGAATTTCGATCTGAATTTTAGCTTCGATGAAAATTTTGAATCAAATAACCACTTGCCCCTATCTAAACCTAAGAACGGTACGAATATTAACAATGATCAATCAAAAATTAACAAAGATACAGAAATCGAGAGTAAATTTGATATTTTGGATGAGGATATATCCGAAGAAGACATTACCATGTGCGCACACATCTCAAAAAATACCTACTTCTCTACGGATGTCGACATCGACAAGGTAGGGTCAGACATGATTGGAGTGGATAAAAAAAATGAGATGGGAAGTAATAACGTTAGCGGGAATAAATTAGATATATCATCTAATTTCGATCTGATGGGCATTGATTCAACACTAGACAGACACGAATTTTCGGCGGTTGATGCTCAAGTCATAAACGAAGAAAAAGTGTATGGCAGTTGTTTCGATTTGGGATTAGGGAACGATAGAGATAATTATCACGTTAAAGAAGAGCTCAACCAACAAATTGAGAATGATCTGGATAAGGTAAAACCTATCGTTAAAAACTTAGAAACAAAGGGAGAGAGTGGTGTGAAGGCGTCTAAAGGCGCTACGCTACCCGCGAGCGCTAAAATTATCCAAAAGGATAACGTATTATACTCCTCTTTTGACTTGGGCCTGGACGAAGACGCGAGCATATTCCAAAATCTTAACATCGATTATGATAATAATAACCAAAAAATGAAAAACGATGACAATAAACTAGATAAAAGTCCGTCATATTTTCAAAGGGCTACCGAGAATATTGAAACGCGGGACGGTAAATATTTTAAATCTAAGCTACCCCGACCGATCATCCATAAACTAAAAAACTTTGCATCCGGTAAAGAATATATTATATTTTTTTTTTTGATTTTTTTAAAAATGATATAATAATTAATATATTTTTTATTAAGAAAATAATATTACAATCTTGAAAACACCGAACAATTCTCACAAAATTAAACTCTCACCTGACTTCATGCCTAAAAAGCATAGCACACCGTTCGCTGGTAATATTTTATATTTATTGGTTGATTGGGGTTGGCAAATATTATGATTTTTTTTATATATAAAATCAACAAAAAAAGATTTTATTTATTTATTTTGATTTAAATTAAGTTTTATAAAGAAATACAGTGTTGTGATGATTTAATGAAACATATTGGATTAAATTAAAACCCATAACATATAAAATTATAATCTTTGCAAAAATAATTTAAATATAAACAATGCATTATTGAAATTTCTCTTATTATTCCTTTTGTTGTTTTAATTATTTTCGCAAGATTATAAGTTTATATGAATGGGTTTTAATTTAATCGTCAATATGTTTCATTAAATCATCACAACACTGTATTTATAACGATTATTTTGATTTAAATTAAATTTTATATTTATATGTCCAATAAAAGAAAATAACCATCGTGTTAAAATTATTAATTGAACGCATATACATTTTATTACATTAAACATCAGTTTTTTTATGGAATTTATAAATAAATTATTGATAAGGCTATATTGGATTGACTAAAAAGTACTTTATCACATAATAATTAATATTTAACTATAAAATAACATATAATATAACAAACTATCAAAATAAAATATACTTTTTTTGAAAAAATAATTAAAAGCAGTTAAATTTATTTTGAATAATAATCTACATATTTACAAAGTAGAGTCTTAATTCTTTTATTAATTACCAAACAAATTTTTTAAAACTATGTGATACGGTGTTTAGCCTATATCGGTATTTTGATTTAACAAATATTTCTTTAAATTATCTGAATCAGATAAAAAACGAATATTAGCGACTCTCTCCTCCAATAAGAAGAATGAATACGAATCTCAAAATGAGAATGAAAGTGACCAATTTACCCGCGAAAAGGGAACTCATAAATCGCGTGACGATGATAACATAGTCAATGATTTCGGAAGCGATAGTGATCATTTTATCCGCGAAAAGGTTACTCATAAATCAGATGACGATGATAATATAGTCAATAATCCCGGAAGTGATAATGATCTCGAAGATTCGTTTCTCGAAGTTAAAAAGAATAAGCGAAAATCGAATAAGGTAATATAATTTTTTATAGTACACATTTGCTATGCTTTTTGTAAAAAAAAACATATATAAATATTTATTTGAAGTTTTATGACATTTAAAACTAGTGAAAGTTGTGAAGTCGAGTTCAGACCTAGAACTTTACAAATTTTGAAAAAGTTGGGGAATAGAGCTAGACATAAAGCTTTCCAAACTTGAGTGTATAATCTTAGCCTCGTTAATGACTCTCGTTCCTACCGTAGGTTAGGCTGGGAAAATAAAAAATCCTATTTTTTTTTGCTTTGTTTTTGTATTACTCAAAAAGATACCTGTTTTCGAATTTTCATTTTAATTCTAAGATCAATTGTTCTCATTGTTAATTTTGAGATTTAAAATAGATTATTAAATCTGACAATTACAATAAATTTGACTGGGTTATTCTTTATTAATAGGATTTAAAAAAATTTATTAAAAAAAACAAGTTGTATTTATTTTAATATTTCCCAACACCAAATAAAATGCGTTAATGATCTTTTCAAATAATAAAAAAGTCAATTTAAAATCCTTATATATATTATTATTTTATATCAAATTTAATTTATTATTTTTTTTAAAATAAAAAAATATCTGATTTCCAATCGCAAAAAAGCGCCAAAATAAATGCGTATCCAAAAAGCAAATTTTGAAATTCTTAGATTTGGAAGCTCAGGTCGACGGTTCTGCCAGCGGCAGCGACACTGGATTAGAAAATGACGAAGAGTTAGATAATACCATGTTGGATAGCTTTGTAGTTAGACCCAATTCGTCGAAATATTACGAAGGAGTTGAAAGTTGGTGAAAATCATATATTTTTTTCAAGGCCATTTTCTTAGGCACGTTTAAAGCATTTTTTTAAAATTTATTTTGTAAAAAGATACGATACTAATTTTTTTAGCATGATTTCAATTAAATTTTTAAACTTCTGAAAGTTTTAAAACTTTTCAAATTTTTTTAAACCATTTTGGACATAGCCTTAAAAAGAACTTGCACACGGTAAGAACGCTCAGACGCCATCTAATCATTAATAAGAAAACAAAAAATATTTTTATTACGATTAAATGATGGGCAATGGGTACAAGTATTTTTTTAAAAATATTTTATTATGCAAAAAAAATTAATTCTACCTATTATTATCCTTACTATCTCGAAATATAGAAAAATTGTTAAAAACGTTCCTAAGGAAATCGCTTGCCATAGATGATCATTTTCCATGATTATTATAATATAACTGTCCTTATAAACAACTTTTACAGGGTTTATAATATTTGTTAGGACCGATTTAAGAAATCTACTCCTGAAAATTTTATAGGGTCCCTTACGAATATTAAAATAAAATTGTATTAGTTTTTATATGATATAAATAAGTAAAAAAAATTTATTTTTAGGCGAAAGTAAGATGGAAGCCGTGTATTTAAAATCAACCAAGAATATTCAGGGGATGTACGGCAACAAATTCAAGATCAAAATCTCCAACAATAACAAACAAGTTTCCTACATATATTCCCAGTTTCCCGATACACAGGAGAGGCAAGAGACCTATAACCAAGATAGCTTTTGCGTCGATAATAACATGGAAAAATCCGAATATGATACAAACCATTTTCTCACCGATAATGATGATGAATATAATTCTATTGTAACCCACAAAGAGACTAGTTGTAGTAAGATAGAGCTGCCTACACCCGGTTTCATTCAAATTTCGTCTAGCGATGACAGTCATATAAATGTAGGTAACAAAAACAACCGAAGAAACGATAAAACCAAAGCTACCAAAAGACGCCATAATAATTTTGTCGATTCTGACCACCACGAGGATAAAGATACCGTCATATCGGATGCTACCGATTTTTCGATCGACGATGAAAGTAAAAATATTATATATAAGCTGGATTCGCGTTCAAAACCCAGGGTATTTGATAAACCCGTTCCCTTGCCGAGAAGGGGCTACAGAAAATTTGTAATTTTGCCTGCGGAAAGTAAGAAAGGTCCGAATTTTATAACTATCACAGACGATTCTGAAGACAACTTAATTCCCCCAAAACCTAGGTATGAATGTATATTGATTTTACAAAAACGAGATAAATTTAGCATATTCCATTATTTATTTTATTTAAAAAAAAAATTATTAAAGAAACAAAAAATACAATAGAATTAAGCCATTAAAGAATGGCTCAGACTCATCACTAGAAAATTAATGAATCGCTGCAGTCACGAAATTATATTTGTTAATAAATAAACAAATTATACAATGCAATCATAAATATATTTAAATTTTATATATAGATATATTTATTTATATAATTCTTAATTTAATCGTCGTCTATATACATTTCCCTATAATAAAAAATATAAATATACAACGATTTGACTAGTAGTTTTGCTATTTAACATTTTATTTACTAAATAATATTATTTAAATTCTGAGTTAGATTTTGATATGTTGCTGCTTTAGGTAAGGCGCGACTGATTCTAGCGTTTCCCAAGCAAACGGAGTCTTTATAAAACACGGCGTACTTTGTTATGAAATACATTATTTTAACAAAAAAAATAGAATTGTATTAAAATTAGGGTTAGCAAAAAAAATCGAAATATGGAAGATAAAATAATGAGTGACAATATAATAATATTTACTTGTCCAGGCGTGATGGCTCGACTTGGGTACTTCAATTCAACCAGCATGTGTTCTGGGGTCGTATCATTTTTTAAGCGATCGTAATAATCGTTTAATTTTACATTTGGAGACGATAAATCTATATTTACACGGCAAGGAAACCAACCTTCGATGTTAACATGCCTGAAAAAGCAATCCATAATACCGGGTTTGGTCATGTATGATTCGATAGAGCCATTTATCCAATGAGGAGCGAGGGTTGTAAACATCGTTGAGTAGAGTGACGGGTGGTTCCAATAGGAGGACTAGTGTTGGTTGTTGTTTTAACATTCGTTTGTATAAAATTGAGATATAAATAATAATTTCTCAGGGAAAGTGAAACGTTTCAGTTCAGACCATAAATAGAATCCGATTAATCCAACCTTCCAAAACTACGTTTATTTTTCCATTGACTAATATCTTAACCCTTCTCTGACATTTATCAATATTTTTTGGAGACCATAAGAAATATTCCAAAATTTTTCGCGATTTAGAATGTTCGAAAATTTTCGATTGGGCGGCATTCATAATTAGCATTGGTTATTTATTTGTTATATGTTTGGTTAATTTTTATTTATTCATTTTTTTAAAAAAACAAATTTTTCTGTTGAAATGATATTTTATTATAGGAAACTTATTGATTGTTAATTTTTACACATTTTTTTTATAAAATGAGTTATTTTGATAAATTATATTGGAGATGAAAAATAAACAATGAGTCGGGTTAGACATTTCAAAAAATTTGATTTTTTTTTAAATTTTACAAACATATATTTTGATCAATTGAAAAGATGCCTTGCAGATTTGTATTATCAATATTGTGGTAGATATAACTTGAATAAACTATTTTCAGATTTGTCATCAATATTGTTATAACATAAGAAATTTAAACTTGGATACCTTTCCCCCAATGGTTTTTCTTACTTAGCTTGCATAACTTTTTATAATTCATAAAACAAATAAGATACTTTCTCAATGGTCAACTATAGAACCATATTTGAAATGACGTTTAGGTACAAAAAAAATTTATATTATTTTTAAATAAATGTTAAGCCATTATTCTCATACTACTAAAAAAAGATTATTAAAATTTAAAAAAATTCATGTTGAAAAAATAAAATAACTATTAAAAAAAATTCAGCAAATAAAAAGATACAAACTAATCTAATCGTTAATTAATAAAATCCCTCTAAAAAAATTTATATTGCCAACTTTTTAACCGAAAAAGATTAAATAATATAATTAAGCTTGTTTACCACGTATATGATATTTTCAGCCAAATCTTTTCTTACGACGTAATACCTAACATTCTTATTTTGTTTTGTATGGCAAGAACGCGATTTTGATTCGTTCGCGTAAATCATTCTCCGCCTTTCGATCCTCTGACCTATGGTAACGAAATTTGTGCTCTCCTGGTCGGACTGAATTTAATATAAATTATTAGCAATTTAATAAATGATTGATAGTTTACTAAAAAAATTTTAAGAACTGAGTGTTCCTGGCAGGAATGATTTTTTGTAGTTGCGATAAAACATGACACTGTTGATGAGTCGTGAGTAGTTGTTTAAAATTACCTAACTAAGCCTTCAGCCTCTAGTTCGAGCCGCACTCATTTTAAGGATTGAGATAAAAATAAAATTATTGTTTAAAAAACTGTGTGAAGCAATTTTGGAATTCCAAGTTAGGTAATTTAGTAACATTATTCGTGCCAACGTGTTAACGGTGCAATTTTGCTGACACCCTTTTAAAATAGCTTGGCTAGGAGATAACTAAAGTATGATAAGCGTGGTTTAAAATTTATTAATAAGTTCAGGGCCGACTCTAGTTTTTTTTTGGAGCACCATTTTACTGGCACTCTTGACAAAAAAAATAGATGTTAATTTTTTTTTGTTTCGCATTCTCTACTAGTTGTTATTAAACGGTTCGATTATGGCTAGCTCAAAATTTTAACCAAAAAATACTACGTGACCCTGATTTCGCAATTTTTAAACTGATCGAACGCTATTCTCTAACCATTTTAGGTTTTCTATATGGACGTAATTTTATTGGATATTTTTTATAGGTTTTAAATTTTTTTTGCCGCTCTGGAACTATAATCCCAATGTGAAGCCGACCAAGAACCACCTTTGTAATCTATACCATTGGTGTCAGAGCCCCCATAATCAAATTATTTTTAGTTTTTAAAAGGGACCTTATAAAAAAATATCTGTTACGCCTGTAGGCATTGGGGCCTTTTCTGCTGGAAAGAAAAAAATGTTTTAAAAATTAATAACACTAATCTAAGATTTAAAAAAAAATTATCCGCCATTTTGAAAAGACATTATTTAAAAAATGCAAGATCGGGGTATGTAATATTTATTCTTTTTTTTCTAGAAAAATCAATTTATCTATATAAAAAAAAATATGAACAATTTTTATTTTGAAAAAATAAAATCATATTTAAAAGCATTTACTTCTTTATTATCCAAATCTCTGTTATATTTCATATAACCGACTTGTAAATTTGAATCTATGTCTATTAAAACAGTTTTGTAATATTCTCTCTTATCCGATAGATCTCCTTTCAGAATATAATCATTTTCCATTTGAGGCTTATTATTTTGAAAATTTGAGCTTATGCAATCTGTTTCTTTAGCCTCAAAAGCTTGATACTTCTCATTGATTTTAAACTCAAAATCGTTTATAGAATTCTCATCACCATCCTTAAATATCGTATCATCTTTCATATTTGTCATAGATTTAGTATGATTATTTTGGTTATTTATTTTTTTATCGCCTGTATATTTATCGTAAACTGGATGAAAATCATAATAATATTGAGCTAAAAATTGATCAAATTTTGTCCTTTTACCCACAAAACACATGCCCATACTTTCCGCTTTTTTAGAGAATAGAGGAGCTAAGGCAGTCTTTTTGGCAATGGCTCTAACATTATCTTTAGTTAGGTTGGATAATGGGAAAATGCATTTGCTAAGAGCTTTCTCAGTTATGTTGGACAAGAAAAAGGTTTGATCTTTTATTATATCCCGAGCGGCAATCAGACGTGGTCTTTCTAATTTTTTTTAAAATATACAAATAATCAATTATGTTAGATATATTTGATCAAAATATAACAAAAAATGCATCAATTTAAACACACTACTGATCAATACAAAACAATAATAATTTAATTTATTTTGCTGTTGGGTGATTTTATTCACAGTAAATTCTATAAGACCTATTTTTGAAGGCATTTGACTGAATCTAGGAAAATAATTCACTGGGAAAAAAAATCCACAATAATAATTCTTAGAAAATAATTACCCGTAATTGATTTTCTCAAAATTTGTAAATATTTTATTTGAGGATTTTTATTTTGTGGATATATTTATAGGGAATTTTTTCTCCAATTTTATTTATTTTGTAATTTTTAATATCTTAAAAAATGAGGATTTTTTGGGGGGAAAATTATTTTCTGCCCCCATGGTTATGCCAACTTTTATATTTACTGAAAAAAGTTAAAGATATAAATCATTAATTTAATCATATTTTATTTATTTATCATTTATGAAATTTATAAAAGTAAAATGAAATAGGAGAAAAAAAATTAATGGCACTTCTCTCTTTTTTATCAGTCAAGAACTTGTATTTTTTTAAAGATCCATAAAATGTAGGCTAAATTATTTTCTATTTATGAAGATTAATTATCAATTTTGGTAAAAATAGTACAAATATCTAATAAAATTGTATGGCAAATCCAGTTATATAATATTATAATAAATAAAAACTTCACATTATTTAATACCAAGTATATGTAAATTTGAATCATATTGCCTAGAAAGAACTTTTTTAATGTCCCAACTATTTGATGCATAATGGCCTGTTGCTACTGCATCGACTTTTAAAACATTTATACAATAATTCAAAAAGCATCCAAATTTGATTTCAGAATTACATAATATATCAGGATTTGGAGTATAATACCCTTGTTTGTAATCATCTAAAGCAGGCCTACAGACAAATATGAAAAGTGGTTTTTAATGAAATTTATCATCTTTTTACAAAAATACATTGTTCCAATATTCTTTCACGAAATTGACTTGATAAAATTCTATATTTAGATTATTACAAATCTTTTCAACATCATATAAATCATGTTTATTGGAGCATACACCTTGTTCCTCTTCAACATCCCAATTCTTCATAAATACTCCAATTATATGTAAACCTTGAAATATTTTTATGGAATGTCCAAACAATGAGTATAATATTTAATAAACCTTCTCTTTTTAGTAAATATGAAGCCACAAAACTGTCGATACCTCCAGATAAAGCGCACGCTATGATTTTTTTCATTTCATCGTTCAGCTGATAGGTGCTATAGATATTCACCCGCTGATCTAATTCTATTCATTAATTTATGATCACAAACCTGTCATATTTGACATGTTATTAATATAAATGATTTATCTTATTAAATAACAATTTTAATTTATTTTTAGGGTTAAGGTGAGGGTTAACTTTAATCTTAATCTTTATTTTATAATAATTCAGGCAGTGTCTATATGACAGAATTTTCACAAGATGCAAACCCCTCTCAAAACCTATTCACACCCCTTTGAAAAATTTTTCCCTTCGCATTATTAATTACACCTTTTTAATTATAATGGTACATTTTTCATTAATTATAAAAAAAGTAACTTAAATTATTTTAGCTCTGCTACTAACTATCAAAATATTATTAAAATATTAAAGAGTTATTTAGATATTAAACCCCTGCCAAACAATATGCTATATAATGCATTTATTATATATGCGGGGTTTTTTAAATGAGTATATGATCTAAATAACTTTTTTATATTACAATATTTTAGAGTTTTATTTATAAAATAAATAATGTTTATGATTTGATTGTTATTGCCTTATATAGATTGATCAGCAATACCATTGTATTATAGCAGGTCAATTATAAATGTAGCAATTTTTACAGTAATATAATTGGTCCTATTTCATCTAAAAATTTAATAGATAACCCCCCCCCCCCAATAAATTTATCCTACCCCCTCCTCCCTCAAAAAAAGATGGTTGCGAACAGTTTTTATCCCTACCCCGCACTCATGTTGGATCTCAGGGATCTCAAAATATTTTTAAAATTTTGAAATTTAACTTTTTTTAAAATCTATCTAACATTATATTACCATTTTTACTTACCTTTTTTTTATTGGTATAAAAAAAATCCAAAATGTTCTTTACATTTTTCAGGAGCTCGAGCTCTAGCTTCCCTTCCCCCAACTCTAGTGGCGCTTCTAATGAAATAACTTGATATAGGTATAGTATTTAAAATTTCATATGAAATAATTATAAGTGGTAATTAAAATTTTTTAAATGTTTTACCTTATATAAAACTTATTAGGCATTTTCTACCAATTGATAATTTTAAATTGGAAATATGTAAAATGAAAGAATTTTATATTCTATATTACAAATATTTTTTGTTTATTTATAATTTTTCAAAAAGTCGACGTATTTGCCAATCGTGCTCACTAATAAAAATATCCCTTCTACTGTACACAAGAATAATCTTTATTTTTGTTAAATTTTGAAGAATAATTAATTACAAGTCTTTAGATTTTCGATATTAGAGGTGTTCCAAAGTTTTCAGCTCAAGTAATAAATTGGCACTGCCATTATATTTTATTACACGAGAAAAAGAATAATTTTTTTTTAAACATTGTTTAAGTCTAGTTAAAAAATTTTGACACTAGAAAAACCATTGGGTCTTCTAATAAATTGGCACTTATATTTTACTCCATGAGGTTAAAAAATTATAAAATTTTTTGAAAATATTGCTTAAGCCTAGTATAAAGTTTTTGATTCTAAGAAGTTCTAAAACCATTGAGTCTAGAAATAAATTGGCACTGCAATTATACTTTCAACCTTATTAGAATAAAAAATATTAAATTTTTTTTAAATTTTGTTTTAATAGTTAAAGGTTTTTGATACTAAAAAGATGTTTTAAAACCTCAGATTCTAGTAATAAATTGGCATTGACATCCAATTTTTGTCCACGAGGAAATAATTATGAAAATTTATAAAACTTTTTACCTAGTTAAAAGTTTTCGGCAGTAGAACAATGTTCAAAAACCTTCGGTAAAACCATTGGGTATAAATTGGCACTGTCTTTATATTTTACTCCAAAAAAAATTACTAAAATTTTTTTATTTAAGCCTAGTTAAAAATTTTTGATTTAAAAAAGATCTTCTAAAACATCTCGGTAGTAAATTGGTACTGACAAAATTTTAGATCATGAAAAAATATTTATCGGCAACGATTACCCATTTAAATTAATTCTATATTGCATCAGATTATTTATAAAAATTTTACATATATTTAACATTGTCTATGAAAATAATGAAATAATTTTTATAAATTATCCTATAAGAAACATATTAAATCAATTAACCTACTCCCAGGTTTTGGACTTGCTGGGGCAAAAATTTACTTTTACTAGAATCAATCTTGAGAAAAATATATAAAATATTTAAGCAAAATCATAAAGGTATTGGGTATGTGTTTGGGCTATCACTATTTTATAAATTCATATACAAATAGCCCTGGCTAGATTTTTTTTGGCCTTAAATCTGATAACGAATTTCATATTATATGTTATACATTATTGAGATCTGTAAAATCCCGTTGCGGCGCGTACTTAGTACGAGCAGAAGCCTATTTTAAAAGATAATTTCGGATCAGGTAGAGTCTGGCCTATTTTTTAAAAATGATTCGGACTGGACTAAAAAATTGGCTCGGTGCAAATCACTTCTGCACACTCCGCGCAATCACATATTTTTTAGCTCTATAACTTTTTTTAAAATTATTTTAACTTACGTATTTTATATTTTAATAAATAATTTTTATAAACATTTGAAATAAAATTTAACAAGTGAATTTATTTTTAAAATTTTAATCTTGGCTTTTCTCAAGAAAAGGCCTCATATCCAGGGTTACCAGATCTTGCTTAGTGGAAAAGAGGGCATTTAAATAAAAAATTAATGAAATTAAAATGAATTTAAAATTAAATTGATTCTTATGCAACCGTTTAATAAATTGCATTTATATACAAATTATTTCAAATCTTGCAAAGATAGTTTTGTATTGCATATTTTCAGTTGCAGATATTTTTCTGCAATATATTTGACTTTTTCTCTAAAATATTTAAATAAATTTGCACAAAACCATATATAACGATATTGCATGCACATAATTGCTTTTATAAATTTAAATTCCACTAATCCTCTCATTTGTCTATTGACTATTGATTAAAAAAAAATTATACTAACGTTAACAATCTGGTGTAAGAAAATTGAAGCTTGCTATAATTAACCCATAACATATTTGAGTATTGAAATATCCATTAAATTCAATGTCCATAACATATCTTTTAATCCATCTACTTGGATTTTTTTTCTTTTTTATTATATTTATTCCAAACATTGCTTTACTTTTAATGGACAAATATTTCATTTTTCTTTCGGTCAACAAATATTTCAACTAAAGTTTTCTAAAAATATTTAAATGTAACGAGATTATTTTATTTAATTTAGAATAAATCAAATACAAATTTAATTTTATATAATTTATTTTAAAATTTTACATTTTTTATCAAACTAAAAAATCAGGTTTATATCACAATTTTCATATTAATATATAAAAATTTATATAAAAAAAATCAATCTACACAATTTATAAAAAAATCAATTTATATCAACATAAAAAAAACAATTTAAAGGTTAGTATTAATCGGTCATATCAACATCAACGATTTTAAATGGTTTAACCGTTCAATAACTGATTTAATTTTATTTCTCAACTGATTTAATTCTTTTTAATGAAGCAACATCAAAGAATTGGCGAAACACACTATGCATTTTTTTTAAATCAATACAAAAAATTTCTAATAATTGGATTGCTAATTGAAAGGAAGTTTGATCTGAAGGCTTCATACATTTTAAGAAATGACAGAAATTTAAAAAAATGCATCGTTTTATTTATAATCAAGCTCAACGAATTCAGATAATTAGATGATGTGGATACATAAAAAAAAATTTTTTTTAAGAAGGCAAATTAAAATTAAAATAGATACTAGACATAGACATCTATTTGGGGATTTAGTTATTTCTAATTCTCCAATGCTTTCAGACCATTTATTTTGGAGTATTCTGGAGCATAAAAAAAGGAGGGAGGTTAATAATCTCCCCAAATAATACTCCAAAATATATTTCTTTTATTAAAAACTATTTTTGTCTTATTTAATTTTATTTTGCTATAATTATTTTTTGTAATTTTTAATCATTCCTTTTCCTATATGTTTTTTTAAAAATATTTTTACATAAAAATTATTTAAAAAATATATATAGCAAAAAATAATGGCTCACAAAGTTCCTACTTACCGAAAAATTTATAAACTATGTTTTATATTATAAAAAAAAATTAAAAGGAGAAAATAAGGGTGGGGTGGAATGGGGTGGGAGTAGATAAATTAATATTTTTTAAAAAATATATTTTTAATATTCTTTTATAAAAATAGGCTTAAATGCTTTCCTTTAAAGTTTTCGAATAAATATTTTCTGTGAACATATATAAAAAAACTAGTTCTAAAGTATAACTATATATCATGTTCAAATAATATTTTTATTTTTTATAGATTTTTAATACAACTGGTATTTTTTAAAAATCTTTTTATTATAGGAATAGCATGATTAAAACCATAATTTAAGATATAAAATTGTTACATATATAGCATAATAAAATCTAAATAATACAATTCATATTGTACCGATAAGAACATTTATGGTACATATAAAATCATGTATATTGCAAAATGCAAATATAGTTTCCCAAAAGTGAATTTAGATAAATAAATTAAGTGGATGATATAATCTTTAAGCCAATAAATATCATTAATTTTGAACTTTAGCGCAAATAAACGAAAGTTTTTTCTAGTTAATTTTGCATTAACAATTATCTCTTAAAGGAAATTAAAAAATGCTTAAAATTTATCATTTTTCGCATCGTAAATGAATCGTTTTTTAAAAACGCCTATCTCTCTTTTTTAGGCAGAAATTTCTAACGTCATTATTTTTAACTAGATGCTCAATGTATATATAACATATATAAGTTTTGAGCCCAGTAAAAAGTTTTCAGCTTGATCTTTTGAGATCGACTAATATTTATAAATTATAATTTTTTTTTTTATCTAATATACATCCTACAACTGCCAAAAGCATAATATTCGTGCTTAAGAATATTATCAGACAAAATTTTAAAAACATTACGATCTTAAGAGATGCTACTAATCAGGAATTAAAAAAATATATATTCATTAACTCCCCTTCCCCTTTTTTATAAAAAATTATAATAACTATTTTTAACTCTTCATTGAACAGACCAGCAATTTTAAAATGTTATTACTTAAAATAATTCTTTCGATTTATCTCAATCTTTTAATAGCTTAAAATTTTTAGGTAAATTATAATGTGCTGAATTAATTGATTCTAGAGTATTTCATGAGTTATAAGGGTTTTTTAGATGGGAGCTGCGTTAACATGACTTGGTCATCGTGTAAATATTTTTCAAGCACCATTATTATGCTTTTAGAAGTTGTGAGATCCATTTTAGATAAAAAAATAAAATAAACAAAAATAAATATTTGTCGATCTATATTTATATACCAATTATAATGATGTAAAATGTTCAAGCTTGCAATAAAAAAAATAAAAAATGAGTCAAAACTAGCCTGATAATGAAATATTTAAATTTATTATTGAATTACAATAAAATTTTAACAAAAAATTTAAATAATAAAATTTAGAAAATTTTATAAACAGTTAGGACAAAGTATTATTGATTTTTTGTAATTTTAATTATATCTCATAAGCTACACAATTACCAAAGATAATATATAAATTTTAATTATAATTTAATTTGTGGTAGAAAGTATCGTGGCGTTTAACAAGTTCCACTAACATTCGCTTTACCTATCATGATTCAAAAAATATTTGGACATCATAAACGTTTGTTAAACTTATCAAAAATGGTTGTAATCAAAAATTATTATAGTTCAAAATTTGTTAAAATTATTTGTCTTACAAACATTTTCAAATTTGATATAAAAATTTATAATAGTTAAATATTTCAAAAATTTTTTAGCATATAGTTGGACAATTTAATAACAATATCAGGATATATTTATAATCCAAGTTTCTTAAATTTTAAAATGGGACCCACTGCAACTTCTCCAATATTTTCTTTTCCACTACCAATCCCCCAAAAGAGTTTCAAATGGTATACAACTCATTTAATACCAAAAATTTTAAACTAACCTCATGCTAAAAAAATAAAAAATAATAGCAATATTAATTTGTACTAGATACCAGGTTTTCGAGCTTATTTCTAATATCAAAAACTTTTTACCAGGCTAATTAAAACAAAGTTTGAAAAAATGTTTCCAATTTTTATTGGCCACTTGGATTAAAATAGAATGGCAGTCACAACTTATTACCAGACCAAAACTTTCTACTGGGCTCAAAACTTTAATATCTATTTCTTTAATATTTCAACATTTAACGCATGGAATTATAAAAAATATATGCAATATCAATATGTAAGCAAAGGTTTCAAAATAATCTAGTCTAAAATTTTTTTATAACTAGGCTCATAACAAAATTTTTTAAAATTTTTATATTTTAATTTTCCTAGTGGAATAAAATAGAATGGCAATGTGAATTGAATACTAGCCCCAATGGTTTTAGAACTTCTTTTCAATATCATGAACCTTTTACTACGCTCAAAGCATAAATATATAATTTTTTCATATTTCTATTACGCATGGGTTAAAAAATATTGGCACTAGAAATTTCTTTATGAGCCCAAATATTTTAAAACATCTTCATAGTATCAAGAACTTTTAACTACGCCTAAGACATATTTTTAAAAATTTTCATATTAATTATTCGCCGAGTAAAATTAATGGCAGTGCTAATTTATTACTAGACCCAAAGGTTTTAGAACATATTTCTACAATCAAAATATTTTAACTAGATTTAAAACAAATGTTTAAAGGATTTTCATATTTATCTTTTACTCGTGGTGTAAAATATATTTGCAGTGCCAATTTACTTCTAGACCCAAAGGTTTTGGAACATATTTTTAATATCATATTTTTTTCCTGAAGTAAGATATATGCAATGTCAATTTATTACTAGATTTTAAACATCTTTCTAGTATCAAAAACTTTTAACTAGGATTAAAACAAAGTTATTTTCTTTTTTACTCGCCGACCAAAATTGAATGTCAGTGCCAATTTGTTACTAGCTAGACCCAGAGGATTTAGAACATCTTTCTAGTATCAATAATTGGAAACCCAGATTAAAATAAACTGGTTTAATTTTCGATCTATTTGTTGACCCAGCAAGCTCCACCAGGCTGCCGCTAGCGTTTCGGCTTAACAGGCCCAAGTCGGATTGGGTCGGAGTCAATTTTTCAACCCTGACTTTTAACAACACTACAAGGACGACGATAATTATCTCGTAGCCAGCTCTAGGATAAAGGTGACCTCGTGGTCCCTTTAAATTTAATATTATTTGTTATAATAAATTTTATATCATGATTGGTTCTAATAAATTTTTAATGCTCCAATAAAATAATCCCTCTCCCCCCCCTCACCATAGAAAATTTTTACACATTGGTATTGTTCACAACGTTTCCGTTATTTATGTATAGTTAAATTACTTTTTGTTAGTTATATGATTTATTTTTATAATTCTAAAATAATAATTTACATTAAAATAATAAACACAATATTATAACGTCAATGTTTATTATGTATTATTATAAAATAATATAGCTTGAACTTTGTATAATATATATATATAAATTAATTTTTAAGGTATAAATGATTAACCATCTAATATTTTAATCTTTAATTTATGAGTGAATGAATCAAAAGGTAATTGATTGGCAATTGAAATAAGATTAAAAATATCCCCAAAGGTATATAAATTAACCCTTTTTAAACACCTTCAAAATTTTTATTAAATTAGTAAATGGGTAATAACATCGGTAAACATGGCGCTTTTATAGATTCCCAAAAGGTTTTTAGTGCAGGTGAGAAGGATAATATTATAAAGTTGTGTGATAAATTGAAGAGTGAGAAATCTAATGAAATACCACTTAATAAATTTAAAGTAAAATTTTATATATACATAATATATGCTTGAGTATTTAGGAGTTGGTTGAACTATATTTGCCCAATTACATCTCAGATCGATTATATACCCAAATTTGTAATTTAAATACACTCTTGAATGACCAAAAAAATCTTTCTACAGAGATTTTTATGGTTTCATTGGCACATATTTTGAAAGGTAATGTAGTTCAAAGAGCTCATTTGGTTTTGAAATTAGCCACAGAAAATAAAGCTGCAACACCATTGGAAATGATTGGTGTAATTTAATAATATATTATCATATCTAAAGATTTTACAGTTTACACAAGCTTTTATAGATGCATATTTTTCAATTATTAAAAAATCTGTTAATTTAGCCACCTGGAATATAAAAATTAACACAGATTCTGATCAAAGATTAGCTTTCCATCTATTGGCAGAATTATTTTGGCCTAATCATGCAGGTAAATTTATTCACCAACAAGAAATTTATAATTATTTTGAAAACCTTTTTCCTTCTAGCAAATGAAGGAACCTTGCCTAATAAAGAATATACCGAAGATGATATTGAACGCTGGTTACAAAATTCCATTATGACATCTTCTATAATAAATAGGGTCTTTCATAATGTTTTTCCCATAACTCCAGCTGAAGAAGTTAGTAAAAGATATATTTTTTATTTTCATATTGCTAGTTCTTAAATCTTATATTAATCATTAATCTATTTTATTTATATTAAAACTTAAAGTGTGATGAAATAAGTATTTACAATTAAGCTTTTTAAAAATATGAACTTTCATACATTCAAACTAGTCAGTATTCTTTTTTTTAAATACAATTTTTGCTACAAAAGTTTACAACAATATTTTTCAATAAATATTGACCAAAAAAGAAATGAAATTTCCTAAATTAAAAATGTAAATGTCAATCAATATTTTAAATTTGGAAATGCACCAATATTACTTTCAATAGCAAATTATCAATATATTTAAAAAAAAAAATTATATTTAAAAAAAAGAATTTAAAACAAAGGTCATATAAAAATCAAATCACAATTATAAAGATATAGCTCATATATATAAAAAATAATTGGATTAAGTTAGGAAATAACAAAGGCATGAGACCAGCTTACCTGTATTGCGCTAATGGAACCATGAATACCAATGCAATACTTTTAAGTAGTGTTGTTAAACGGCTCGTTTTGAGCTGATTTTTAAAAACGGCTAACTCAATATTTCATCTAGAATATTATTAGGCAAGCCTGAAGACTTTGTTTGTAGAAGGAACAAAGGTTTGGACATTTATTAGAGAAATCTATAGGCTTAGGCCATATTTTTCTGGCTAAAATATTGAGTTAGTCATTTAAAAATCGGCTCAAAATGAGTCATTTAACAACACTACTTTTAAGAATAGCCATCTTGCTTGAAATAGAGAGCTTCATTATGATCACCATTTATTTCGCTTAATTATCTCCTTAATACGAGAAATTTCATTCCTCATCATAAACACCAATAGTATTGGTGACAAATGTGATAAAAATTATGTTAAATATTATTTTTTATTTATAATATATGAAATTTACTAAAAAATAAATAGGAAAAAAAAATACACAGAACCTTCTTCCAACAGCTTAAAATTTTGTTATTAGATTATTTCCTGGTTCTTCTCATTTCAAACAGTCATCTATTTAGCCATCTAAACAGCCTAAAAAAGAGGCTATTTAAATTTTTTGTAAATGTTTTATTTGTATCAAAAAAATATAAATAATGAATAATATTTATGTAATGTGTAGTAACTAAAATAGGATGTTCTAGTTGGATGTCTACAATGGTCATGTTTTGGCCAACAAATCCATTCACTCTTTAATTTTTTTACCCACCCGCACACTATCTATGGTAAAAAATTACCATCCCCTTCCATAAAATTTTGCCTTACCAACCTGCCTGCCCAATGTTTAAATATATTATTTTAATGGCTGGCTTGACCTTTATTTATTTTAATGTATATTAATAAAACTTATAAAATATACAAATATTAAAAAATTATTTTAAATAAATATAAGTCAGGTCTGCTCATTTAGGTCTAAAAATATTTAAAATTCACTGACCTATCACCCTCCCATTGTTTTAAAAATATTTTTTAACTTACTCTTCAGTCACTCTAATATTTTAGAAAGTCTACCTATGTCTGCCCAGAGAATGGGTGGTGAGCATATCTAAAAACCCTAACATGGCATATCTATAGTCCTAGGTTAAAATCTATTTAGCCCAAGTTTAAAAAAAACAAACCAAGACATGACTTGGGGAATCTAAGATTAAAATTTGGCCTGACACCACAAGTATCAATATTAATGCATTTCTTAAAGTTTGCTATTTTGTTTTAATAGTGATGAATATGTAACATAGAAAAATGATAGTAATTATTTTCTTTTATCATTAATTAAGGAGAATCTTTATTCGATTTTTAAAATAATGATTGTTTACTTATTTTAAACGAATCAAATCTCATATTCTGCTATGATGGCCTGAGCCCATTTCAACTCCTAGGCAACTTGTATATTTTAATTTATAAAATATAGACTCAGACCACCCCTCCCCCCTTCCAATATATATTAGCTTTAATATTTCTTTATCTTGTAATAATTAAAATAATTAGATGGAAATTATAATATTATCGGAGTTTTATTGCTGAATAAATTCGATTTAATTCATAGATTTAGTAAAAAAAAATATACTTTAATTTGTAATAATATTTGTTAATTTCATGCCCTAAACTAAAAAGTTTATTTTTTTTGCCACTAGACTGGGTGGGCTTTAGCCGAAATTTTGATTTTTCTGGCCTTTTATAATAACTCATTAAAAGTTTATTTAAAAATTTTTTTTTTAGAGAATTGCTTTACCAATAATACCTTTATGCGAAAAATTGGATTGGTCAAAATTCGGTACAGTTATGGACTTATCGTCACTCATCGTGCTAAATAATAATTGTCCTTCGGATTTAAGAAACGTGTGGCGATTGCTATACTCAACCAAATTAAATGGGGAGAGCTTTGTTCGATTGATTAGGCATATAAGTATTTAGTATTATTAATTCTTTTTTAAAAAATAGGAAAATATAATTAAAAAAAACTATTAATGTATTCATGAATGAACAAGCCTCAAAAAAACGATTTTTTTTGTTTGCCGAATCGATTTTTGGATACTTTATTTTTAAAAATTATTTATTAAACTTTAATTATTTTTTATTATTATATTCCTGATGCAGATTATCGCTACCCCTAAAATTTTAAAATTCATTTTTAAACCTACTCAAATTTTTTTTTAGAAGTTTGACAATTAGCGTAGAAAAGAGTTAGTTATCTTACCTTAAATATGGGAATTTAAATTTTTAAATTAATTATGAAAAATAAAATTGTTATGTATAAACTGCAAAAAAATTTTTTGTCCCAAATTAATTTTGTGATTTTACTGAAAGAACCATTTTTTCTCCAGTGATTATATCTGTCCAACTTTTACCCTAATCTCGTCCAAGAAATTAGCCTAACCTAAATTAAAAGATAATTTTTTAAAATTTCTAGACCTCCTATTCCCAGAATAAAATTTTAAATCCAGATACTAAAATTGGGTAAGTTTTTATGAAACTAACTTTAGATAAACATTACTATTACCATTCCATATGAGGATTAAAAATAACTCTAACCCTGCATTAACAATTCAAGCGAATTCGCTGCCAATTATACCCAAATCTCCCAAACCGTTAATTAACCCCAAACCCATATCTGTTTTAGATATTTGTTTAATTTTAAATATATTTTTATCCAATCAAAAAAAAGTTCCTCTTATGGAACATTCTTCCATTTAAACTTATTATCAATATATATATATGTGTTAGCGTCAGTGTATTATTTTTGTTAAAGCATTTTTCAAAAATCTGATATTCTAGCATGTGTTTCTAACTACAGACATTTATTTTTTTTCGCAATGAACATCTTAAGTCATATATAATTTATATAATTTTTAAAAAGAGCAATTGATGTAAAAAACTAATATAAATTAAATGCTGTTTTTTTTTTATTTTTTCGTTTTTTGATATTTAATTCGAGCTTGGATTATTTTTTGGAACTTGTTTCTGTTTAGCATAGGCTATTCAGCCCTTTGAATTATGACATCACTATTCTGGTGTTGTTTTAAGTTTAAACTTTCAAATAAATATTAACTTGTTTATATTTATATATATATATTTTTTTTTTGGTTACAAATAATAAGACAAAGACGTGGGTAAATCATAATAGCCTCTTTCTTTCTTTTTTTTTCAGCCTGTTTAGAGGAAGATATATAGATGTCTGTTTGAAAATAATCCGTCCGTATTTTATTAACTGAAATTATGATATAATATTTTTCTTCAAGCTTATGCCGGTCCATGCATTTTAATAGTGCAAGAAAAGAATGGAAATGTATTCGGGGGATTTGCTTCGAGGACTCTATTTCCTAAATCACAATTTCAGGGTAATGTTTTTTTTTATACGTTAGTTTGTTTGTTTTTTTTTCTCTATTCTGATGAATAATTATCCTAACTTGTAAAAGTGATTTTTTTTTGTGTTCTCATCAATCAATCAATAGCTTTGGCTCGATTTTAAAAATGGCTAACCCAAATATTTCAGCCAAAAGAATATCGCACAAGCCCCAGGAGATTTTTTTTATAGATGGTAGAAAAGTTTGGACATCTATTAACGAAATATCGAGGCTTGTGTAGTATTTTTTGGCTAAAATCAAACAATTAATTGTTCCCCTAATCGGTCAAAGCTGAATTTTCAAAGATAAAAGATCCTAAAAAAATTCCACCCAAAGTGAAAACGAGCCATTTATTGTTTAAACTTAAAATTAGACAAGCGGCATATCATTGCATATTAAATCACTTTACGGGTCCTACCATCTCAGATTTTGATAAACGATAATATAAATATTTAATTCAATTGACCTTATAAGTGTTTATTAATTTACAATAATATTGTAAGCGATAATATTATTACAATTATGATAAACCTTTATAACATAAAAATTTAAATACGATGACATTTTTAATATATAACACAACACGACTCATTTAAAAATGTGCAGCTATCTTTATTTGGGAGTAAACATATCTTAAATTATATATTTTTTTACATTAGGAAGCGAGTCTAGCTACTTATTCTCACTGAAACCCCACATCAGAATATACCATGCAGACGGTAACAATGGCAACTATGTCTACATTAACATTAATCAACAAACTCTCCCCAATTGTTTTGTGAGTTATTATTTTTTTAAAAAAATATATAATTTACTATACACATTATGTGATATAAAACTATTAATTTAGGTTAGTAATTGACGTCATTTTATTAGTTTTTGAGTATGAGCAAGTATCGGGTTAGGAATTGTTCAAATTGAGCACATCACTCATTTTTCCAAGACAAAAGTCTAACTGTTTTCTTTATTTAACTGTTATTCTTGGCATATACTTAGTAGAGATCTGTAAAGTTAGGCCCGGCTCGTACCCAGCCTGAGTTCGAGCCTAATTCTATTTAAAATAATCGGGTTCAGGCCGGGCCTAATATTTTTTAAAAAAATTCGGGCCAAGTCTGACCTTGGAAATTTTTTTAAATATATCTAAATTTTTATATTGAATTTTTTATGTAAAATAAAAATATTTGATTTTATTTATTGAAATTAAACGACATATGTCTTTTATTTTGGTAATTATAAAAATTATTTTTTATATTTAAATAACAGGCTGGGCCGGTAAATTTTTTTTAAAAAAATTTTGGGCCGGGCCGGGCTTGAAAAATTAGGCCCGATGGTTTTTTTTATATTTTATTTTTTTTTATAACAAATATTTAAGGGATTTGGTGGCCAACTGAATTATTTCGGAGTCTCCGTAGACTCTAATATGCAAACCGGAACCTCTACAAAATGTTTGACTTATAAGAGCCCCATGCTATCGGAAAAATCGCACTTCGACATAGAATCAATAGAAGTTTGGGGAGTAGGTCCCGAATCTTCGGAAAGACAACACTTTTTGGTAAATAAAACATTTTTCGAAATAAAAGAAGGTTGAAAACTTGTGGGCGTGACTGCCACCTTTGAGTTTTTGATTACGGCCAAGACCATACCAGAGTGTTTGAACTAATGTCAAAAACTTAGTAAAAGCATCCTGTCTTTGGCTCGACTTACGTATTTCTTTTAAAAATTGTCTTAATAAATTATTTTAAATCTTATTTATTCATTCAGCCCTTAGAGTATTGGTAAATATAACTTTTTAAAAACTCATTTTTTTATAAATTGTTAATTTTATTCTTTAGAAATAGTTATTTTTATGTTTATCTTTATATCTTAACAATAAATAAATATCTTTTCTTTATTTGCTAAATTCCATAAAACTAATAATAAAAATAAATTTATAAATATTTTACCGAAATAATTTAAATGTCAGTGAATAGAATTAAAAATTAATTGTGATCAAATGGCAGGGGCGTCAGCCACAATCTCATGGGGCTCAAAAAAAATTTAAATCATTTTTAAAATTACCTTGTTTTTTTAGCTAACATCCATTACTTATTTTTTAGTTAGTATTATCCAAAATTACCTTTTTTTAGATAACATTATTAAAAAAAAATTTCAGAGGGCTTCCGCCCCACTGATCAAATGTACATTAAAAAATTTTTGTTATGCCTGCTTATGACTTCTTATGTAGACATTAAATTATTTTTTATCATTTACTGATTACTTAATTATATTAATTCCGAATAATTTTATTATTTTTTAAAATATGACCACAAAACGCTAGTGGGCTATGATATGACTTTAGTCCGATATAGGCACATCAAAAAATTCTCATATACACAAAGACATTACTTAGAATTTAAAAAATAACAATAATATTACTGCCATTTTTTCTTTAATTGCCTCATTCTGCAGCCATCTTTCTCCTTTTACTAAACGTAGCTAATTTGATTAATAAAATTTAACTTTAAAAAAAATACACCTAAAATGGTGGCCAAGTAGAATAAAAGAGCACGCTAAAACAAGCATGATAGATTGCCATTTTTTATGTCGAGTTCCATTACATTTTCATTTTAATGTAAAAAAAATATAATAGCAAAAACGGTTCAGTCTTCTCGACGTGGACCCAGATGTTACAGCCATGCTGACTTTGCTCAATAAGGGGCCTCACAGTGAGGGGATGAGAGAGGATGACCCTAACAGTAGTACACCAGAAATTAGGAATTTGTTATAGAATAAAGGGTTGTCACTTTTGCAGATAAATTGTTAGATATATTAAAATTTTTTAAAAAAACTCACATTTATAATTTATTATCCAATTATGCTTCCATGATTATATTATAGTTTTTTTTAGCATATTAGATTAGGACTTAAAATAAATTTTGTGATAAACTTAATTTTTTTTTATTTCAAACTTATTTAAATTTTAAAATTCGGTTTAAAATTAGACCGTGAATTGTTGTAACAATGACCAATATGTATTAATATTATTTATTTGCCTCGTATAATATATCAAATATCATTCCATATCTTAAAAAAATATATATATTATAAAATTTAATATAAGAAAAAATTATTTATATAACTGTTGTAGCACAATTGATCGCCCCAAATATTAAAAATTTTAATCTGCTAAATTATATTTGAAATTGATGAAACATGTCCCAATAGTTCTCTCAATTAGTTTTTAAGAATAGGAAGAAAATAAGGAATATTATATGTTTTTGTTAATCATCTATATGATGATTTAAAGTTCATTATAAATCTTTATCATGACCAATAAAAATCAATTATAAATTTAGTAATCTTGCCTCCCCCCACCCCCCAGGAAAAGAAATCATAGTTGTAACTTTGTAAAAAAAGTAAAATAATCTTTCTAAATTTGATATACATTATTTTTTTCAAAATTAAAATTTTTATAGACGGTGCGATCATTTGTGATGTATTAAAATCAGACAACTTATATAATTCCATTTATTTATTCATAAATATAATTTTGTATAATATTATTATAATAATAAATAAAAATTATTATCTTTAATAATAAGAAAAAAAATTATTACCTATATTTCAAAAAATGTATAAATAATTAAATCGCGTTATTTTACTTTAATGTTTATGTTCCTGAATATGTTTGACTCTGCGAGAATAGAAAACTAGGAAATACGTCGATATTTTCATATTCTTATATACAACAAAAAAATTTAATATATTAGTGTTAAAAGGCCCGATTAAGATTTTAGCCAAAATAATATTATGTAGGGCCTCATGAGTTGGCAAATAGAGGTTCTCCTTATCTGCCATCTATAAGCAAAATCAGGCCTATAATATATTATTTTGGCTAAAATTATAAATCGGACTTTTTAACAACACTAAAATTTAGTAATAAAATTTTTAACAAGTGCCATAAATTATCGGTAACATTTACAGATCTGATCACTCTAAGAAAAATTTTTTGAATAATAAAAATAATGAGAGAGAGATTAAAAACAAACTTTCAAAAATTGCATTATCTTCTGTAGAATCATTTTCTATTTCTGCGGCTAATCTAATAATAGAGGGCAAATGGGGAAATTTTTGAACTCCCAATGTTTTCTTATCACGGGGAATATTATTTTTCGCGTTTGAGGTGTGTTCGGATGACGTATGGGCCGAAAGATCCTTTCTGAGTTTACGTATTCTATCGGAAAGCGATTGAGCTCGGGTCTTATAGCTACAACGTTTATTATCCACATTTTACAGGGTGCCAAACCGGCGAGTATAACGGTTCGGTTCCATTCCGGTCCTCGGAAATTTCCTCATAACAGGTTCGGTTACGATTTAGAAAATATAAATTTAATTTTAATAAAAAAATATATATGTGTATTTGAAATTCGAGTTAAATTCTTGTATAAAGTTGTATTAAACTTATCCGGGTCCATAATTATAGTTTGATTTCGATTCATAATATCCAAAAGTTTCACCCATGGTTTCGAGCCTTTAGTTCTAAACTGCGCGTTATTTTTATTATTTTTTCGTCTTTTAAAGGCATGTTTAAAAGAACACGTTTTGTTTTTGCACTGTCCGGTGGTGTTGAACTCGGAGCATTCTAATACATGCTTCATGGAACACTTTATAAATGAATTATGTAATTATAAATAATTAGAACAACATCAATAATATATGGTGAATTAATTTCTCGCAAAACAACATGAATTTCAACTTGACCACAGATTTTTCTAAAATTTTTATACTGGAGTTTGTATGTATTATAACTGAAAACTTTTTTTAGCCTCCAACTGCAAACAATGGCTGAGATACGGGCCTCCAAATGTCGAAAAAATGGGGCATTTTGGGCAAAATGCTCTCCATTTAATTTCAAATATGGCACGTCTTTGGCTTTTAAAGTTATATAATGTCACAAAACCGGAAAAAATCAAAATCAAATCGGCCTTTTTTTTCCCTCTCAAATTTTAAGTTGAGCCGAGCTCGGGTTTAGGAGATATCACATTTTAATTATTCGTCAATTGTAAAAATTCGTAACAAATAATTGTTAATGTATCTAAGGTAAAATCTTTTAAATATTTTAGATAAGTATATTTATTTTTATAGATAATAAATGGAAATATAATATTAGGCCCGGCCCGGGTATTAAAAAAATTAGGCCTGGCCCGTATATATTAAAAAAATTACGGCACGGCACGTGTCTGCAGGCCTCTGATTTAAAGAAAAAATAAAGTGAGGGGGGCTATTGAATGTAATATATTTATTTCATTCCTAAAATTCGCATAATTTGGATTAACATATACGCTGGTGAAGGCCTAAGAAATGTAGTTCCTTGGATGATTAACCAGAATAAATTATTAACGATAAAAATTTTTTCCAGAAGATAATTTTAATAATGATAAATGCGAAATCATCAAGCAATTGAAAAATAAATTAGAAACACATTTACGAAATGAAAAAATTTAGATATTGACTCTTTTATTTCTAAAACTGAATCCATGGCAAGGATAGCAAAAAAAAATTGGCCAAGAAAAAGGGTGATTTATCCAATCCAAATATTATAAAGTGTTTCGAGACTATTATATAGATAATTTGAGAATTTCATAATTCCGATTAAAGGAATCGTATGATGCCTGGCAAGAACCGTTAAATATTAAAAAAGGTTAAAAGAGATAACCAATCAAAGAAAATACTAATTTTATGCTATCATAAGGAATTATATTCTAAATTTAAAGAAACTATATAAATTTGAAGATTTAAGACCATTTTTTTTCTTCTAAACTAATGATTGGTTTTTTTAAAATCAAAATTTTTATGATGGTGTTGTAATCAATATAAGAATAAAATTCATAATCTAAGCCATAGTGAACTTGAAGTTGGAACCAAAGCGGAATGACTTAGTAATAGCATATGGCAAATATCAAAAAAAGGTTAGCAAAAAGAGCTATCTTATACGTCCATATGAGAATTAAATATTAAACACCTTAGATTCATTAAATTTTTATAAAGCATATATCACTGGAATTAATTACGCACATGTAAAAGATGATGAATATAGAAAAAATATCTTGCTCAAAAGGTCAAACCCATTCCATTCCCGGAATCAGAAGTTTCATGTTTTTATGCCACTTAGGGAAAATTAAATTAAAGTTAAACTATTCATATTGTGAAAATGATTTGAATTTAAAATATATATAAAAATTAAATTTTGTCTTCAATAAATTATAATAAAAAATTATAGGCTATATAAAGAAATTTAAATAACGCTTGTAGCTTAATCATATCCAAAGATATTTAAAATCAAATGGAAAGCATTTCACCCAAAATGCCATATTTTTCTCCATTTAGAGATCCCGTACCTCAATCGCAGTTTGAAGTTGGAGGCTAATTTTTTTTTCTTAATTATAATTAGGCCTACAAAAAAACGAATCGAATAATTGCGCTATTCGTATTCGTACGAATAATAAAATCATTATTCGTTTCGATTCGAAAATTTTTCTAAAGCTTATAAAATATTTTGCAAAAAATTTTTTACAGATGTTTAAAGATGACACTTTTAAGGATTCTCTAAACTAATTGTCATTTTTGCATATAAAATATAACAAAATTTTAGAAAGTATTTCATTTTAGATTTTATTTATTAAAAATACTTTAGTAGCATAAATTTCCTTTATTTAATTATTAATATAATTTTTAGAGGTGATTATGACAATGTAATAGAGGAGAAATATTATAATGCACTATCTGAATTGATTGTCTTTAAAATTTGCCAAAAATAAGGTTACTAAATGGGAAAAGGATTTTCCTAATCAAATAATAAGAACTAGTCAAAAAAATTTAGTTATTTATCTGCCAAGGAGCTCGAGAATATGGGAAAGAGGCACACTCTATAAAAATGTTTTGACTTGTTCATAACATCAAAAATGATTAAAGAGAAACAATAAAAATAAAATTATTATATTTTACTTTGAAGCTTTTCCTTTTCTTCCATTAAACTTTTTCAGCAAATATAACTTGTTATGATTTGATATTTGATAATAGGAAATAAAATAAAACGAAATGATATCCACTAGGAAAATTTAATTACTTCTTTTTATTTTACTTGCAATAAAATATTTGCGAATAATTACGAATATTTATATATAAATAATTTCGAATAATTTTCCTCATTATTCATATTCGATTCGAAACTTCGAATCGAATAATTGTGTTATTCGTATTCGTAAAATACGAATCGAATATCAAATAATTCGTTTTAGGCCCAATTATAATATATACAAACTCTTGTAAAAAAAATTAAGGAAAATCTAAGGAGGTCAGGTTGGGAATCGTGTTTTTTTTGTTGATTTACCTATATTGTTAAAAATTTAAATTAGAATTAAATATTCTCTAAACAAGTAATTAAATATATTTTAATGAATGTAAAATAGAGTTTCCGATAATTGGCCAGCTTGTTAACTGTGACAACTTAAATACTGTTCAAATTATCTAAATAATATTTGACCCACAAAATATTAGTGAATTTGAAATGCCATAAATAAATAATGATGATTAGGACTGTGGTGCCAATCAATAAATTTTTAACCAATTTTATTTATTTATCATTATCTTGTTTGAACCAATTGTCATCGCTGTGTGTATTTTATAAATAATTATATATATATATATTTATACAAAACGCCAATCAAAAGTATAAGATATTGTGATTGGTGAAAGAAAAAGCAAAAATTATTAAAAAATTAAGCGTCAATTATTTGATTTTGTTTTAAAAGGAATTTTTCATTACAAAAATTAATTTTTTTTACATTTTTTAAGAAAATTCTCACTTATTAAAAAATTATATTAAAAAATATTAATTATATTTCCTAAATGATTTAATGTTAAATATTAGTAGAAGTATTTTGTATTAAATAAAGAAATAAAATTTAACAAGCATATTATCTCCAAGATTAACGTGGAGATATTAGTATTAGACTGAGAGTAAGTGTAAATATCAGTTTTTTTTACCAATGTCATAAAAATTCAATATTCTAACGAAATAATGTTTGAAATTTTTTTTATCTCTCAAAAGACAAGGCGATATTTGGTGCATTTTCAAACACAAATGATTGAATATATTTTGTTAGTTCTTGTATCCAGAAGGTTAATAATATTTTACAATATGGGCAGCAAACGTTTATGAGGTGGTACTCGTTTAAAATTTTTTAAAATCTATTTCTTGTTGCAAAAACAAAACAAAATACTATTTAATTAAAGAAGAATCATAAAATAACCAAAAAACAATGATAATGTTCAAATTATCTTTCTACAAAATGTTAACTTAAATAGAATTTTTTTTTTAGAAAAAAAGGTAAATATTGGCCTGATCAGAATATTTAATATCGTCAGAGCCCCCCCCCCCCCCAAATAATCAGTGACAGAGATAAATCAATTTTGATTAAAATATCTGTATTTATATAATATTTTAGATAATGTATCTATATCTAGATCCATTTAAAACAGTATCTTTTAACAACTCTGGTAATTATCAAAAATTATTTTTTTAAAAAAATGAAATAAAATTTGAGAAAAATTGGGAGTCAAATTTTAAATTTTATAAGTGGGGAGCTGTAGCATTACATTGATTTAGTATTATTGATTTATTTTGTGAATACGAGAATAAAATAAAGTTGTATTTATTTTGTTTGTTTACCAGATTTATAGTTATCCTGGTAATTATATAAAATAATTTTTAGATTGGTACCTTTTTCTGGGTTGTGAAAGTAGAAATACTAAATTTAACAAAGATAATCAAACTGAAAAGTTGATAGATTCAACACAGAAAATATCAATTAAATTTTTACTAAAGAACAATGATGATTACGCTTATTTATCTTAATATTTTTATATGGTTTGACTAAAAAAAATATAGAATGTTTTTCAATTGCTTAAGTAAACTTGACGTTCTCCACTGCAATATACTTATTTCTTTATATTTTAAAAGCTAATGATATTATAAATATACAATACACATATTGAACACAATGGATATATATAAAATGATTGTTGTAGAAAGAAATACATACCTATTGAGAAGTGGTATAACCTTAATAGACATTGGGGAAAAATTGGATATAGATTTAAAAATATAATGGTAAAATTTGTATAAAAAATTCAATGAGGTTTTCATAGATTTAAGGGGCCAGGCTGGGCAGATTAAACAATTTCCAATTTCTATAGCAGGCCAAAATTAATGAGGCAGGGGTAACTTGTAAAATTTTAAAAAAACTGATAGTGCCAGGCCCTCCAGATTTCCAATGGTCTTAAAAACATTTATTTGATGTGACCAGTCAATTATTGGCTTTGAATAACTTAAAAATGTTCAGACAATGTTAACCTTATTTAAAGAGCAATCACAAATAACACATTAACTTATAAATATATGTTAAATTATAGTTATGAAATAATTTAGCCATGCATCCCGCATCATTTAACATTGTCACTGTTACTATAAGCAAGGCTTTAGGAAACAATGTATCATTTAAAATTATAACCTTATCCCCCAATTTGCACATTCCTTTAACAAAAGATAAACATATTTTCGCATCAGGATTAACTTTAACATGAGAATAAATGCACACAGATGATGTTTTATTGCAAGTGCCTTGCAAAAAATATTTACAAACAGGCATCTTTTCTGCAGATATTCTATGTGAAAATAAGCATCTTTCAATATTACAATTTCCCTTTAAAAATCTTAAAATAATAGTTATATAAATCATAGTGTATTTTATACCTAGTACATATAGTAATCTTTGTACTATCATGGATAAAAGGGCAATTTGGCAACTTAGTACACTTGCCATATCTGTTATAGTATAAACAATACTTTTGATTATTTGATATTACAATTTTTGGCTTATAACACAATTTATATTTCCCATGTATCTTTTTTTGATTATTCAAATAATATTTACTCTTTTTAATAATGGATCTAAGAATAAGATATTAGCAGGAAGCCACATTATTAAAAACTTGGTAATTTTTAATGGAATAGTTGGTGTTGAAAATTTATAGGAAGTAATATCTAAATTCAATAAATAAAAACTATATGAAATACTATAAACTTGCAGCATATTTGTACTGATTATAAGAATGTAATTTATATGGCAATGTTCTTTTTCTATATAGAAATAGATCTTTAAAAAATGAATATGCAATATATAAAAAACCTGTTATTTTGATATTTGTTTTGCCAAATTTTATTTGGTATATTTTTTATTATTAAAGGAGAAATTAATGAAGCTTGGCTTATATAGGTAATTTTATATTTTTTTAAAATCTTTTGTCTTATATTATGCTTGACTAAGGGATTAACATCATTGATATTTGTTTGGTTAAATAATCTGTTGATTTTCTTATATTTATTGTTAATTTGTGATGAAGATTGAGCATTTTCTAGTTTATTGCATTTTTTATCATTAATATATTGCAAATTTGTTTTCGATTTTTTAAAATATGGATAATTATCTGGCCTTTTTGTGAATCGGTATAAATTATGATGTTTATAGACACTACTAGACACATTAGTAGATATGTATTTATATTTATTTAAAGATTTATTCTTTATATATGAATATTCCATCTTATCTTATCGGTATTTAGTACGAATACATTCTAAAGATTAATGTGCATCTGGTTGATGTCAAATTTGACACTAAACATCTGACAAATATAAAGAATTAAAAATATTTATATGATTCTAATAATGCAGAGTAGAGCAAATGTGATCACTTGGCCTCTTCTTGAAAAAAATTACACTTGATTTAATTGTTCCTTTTGTGAGTTTTTTATTTAATTATGTTTCATTTATACCAAACCAATATATAAATTATAAGATAAATAAAAGAGGTACAATGACATAAAGATGTGAAAATATAATTAAAAATAATTTTCATAGTTATAAAGTGTTTTGGGAGGCTTTGATGATTTTTGTTAGTTTTTTGCGTAATGATCAAAAAAAGGATCGCTTTGCCGAAGTCCCCTAACTAACGATGTAACGAGAAGTAGAATGCTAATCAGACTTATTCCTTTTAGATGATTCAGCAGTAGAAATTGTTGTATATTATGTGTTCGATTTAGAGTACGCATATTCAGTTATAATCCCTTACCAGATTGGTCTTTAGACTAAGAAGTAAAAGCAACACCATTTGGTCTTTATTATGAGAAATACTCATCCAAATGGTATTAAAGGGAGGAATGTTGACTGATAACAATGCCTTGTGAATTAAGTAATTAATTTCTTCAAGGGGTGAGTGCCTGCCCTTAGATTGGTTACAGTTGCTATCTATATACATTTTTTTAAGAAATAATATCTGCCCATTCATCGTTATTTATATTTTTGTAAATTTTTTTTGAATTTTGACATGTCATCATTTTTTTTGTCAAAAATTATTCTTAAAAAAAATTTAAATAAATATTATTTTATCTTTTTATTCATTAAATTTTTTTTTTTTGAAGATCATTTTGCATATAATATTATTGTTGAAATATGTTGGATTCTCAAATTAAAAAAAGATAAAAAATATTAATATTAAATAAAATAGAATATAGAACCGTTTTAAATATGGAACCGCTTCTTTTAAAATAGTTGCAATGTAAAGAATGATGCGATCACTCTCAGAGTTGTGCAGTACCGCGAATACTTATATCTAAGATACAAGATATCTTTTACTTTATCTTTTTGAGACTTTTAACACATATAGAACCTTATTTTTCTTGTACTTTATCTTTTTGAGACTTTTAACACATATATAACCTTATTTTTTCGTGGAATTATGTAATTTTCTTGTTTTCTTCAGCCATATTAAATATATTGGCAATTAAAAAACTCACATTAAAATAGATAAATAACAACACCAAATTGAAATAAGCAAAGAATATATTTTATATATAAATATAGATAAAATAATTACCAATTATATGTAATATTTTTTAATTTAACAAATGGTAGTAATGTAAAAGAGTAGTGAAAAAATTATAGTAATAAGTTCCTTTGAATCAAGTCCTAATCTTAAAATTCTAAATGTCAAACCTGTGCAAAAATGATAAAGGCTTTTCTACAAATTTTATTAAATAAATTATATTATTTATATAATAATATGTTATTTTTATTAAAAAATAGAGTTGCCATTTAGGCTTTTACAAAGAATATCAATAAAAGAACCTTGAAGAAAACCAGCAAGCTCCACCACCATAAAAATTTTTTCAAGGAAGTGCTTACAAAGAAGAACAAAGAAAATTTTTGAGAATAGAGTAGATATTTTAAAAAGAAGCTTAATTATATAACGTTACTTAGAATACATTCATTGGAAAATATTGCAGATTTATGTGAAAAAGTCTATAGTGAATATGAAAACAAGCATTCACTAAATATGGTGTAAAATAAAATGATCCAATCCAAAGATTACCTATTAGAATTTAATGAAATCAATGATTAGCACAGAATTTATTTCAAATTTTTTTAAATATTTATCTTTAGATAAAATAAGCAAAAATTATATTAGCCAGGTCTATCAGATATATGATGTCTACCCGTTTTATTAGCCGTATCTATATGAGTCTGATAGCAGATACAAGGAATAAGTAGCTATATTTGTTAATGTATAAATTTTGAATAATCCAAGCAATTAAAGATTATTGATATTTAAGTGAGAAAAATCAAATTCATATGTTTTACATACTAGACAAAATTTCAAAATTTATGTTTTTTAATCGTTTTGAAACTTATTCAAAAATAAATATTTACTTATTAAATCAAATAATTATATTTATAACAAAATTTGATGTTCAATATGCTTAAAATAAATATATAGGTGATTAATATTTTCATAAAAAACACAAACTTATTTATTTTTAATAAATAAATTATTGATTTTTAATCGTATAATTGTGAATGTGGTTTAACAGGTGTTAAATTTTTAAAATATTATTTAGGAAATTTTTTTAAACATTCAAAACCCCACAGTTATACTTGAGTTTATGTTATAAAATTTCGTAGTAATAAATAAAAATAATAAACTAGGAAGTCATATTATTTAGTAAAATTTTGTATAATTAGTAGTAATACTACCATATTTTATATTTATCTTTAATTAATGATTTTATTGGAAAGAATGTAACAAAATAAACCAAATATATCCCTATCATTATAATCACTTTTAAACAAAAGAATGCTAAGCACGATAATAAAGAAAAGTATATTTGTCCCCCAAAATATATGAATGAAATGACAAAATTAATGATGTATAAATAAAGGAATATAAATCACGTGTGTTAAAATAGATTTTTGATGCTAGCATGAGTGAATCTATTTGAATATTAAAAATAATTGATGTGTTTGTCTCTTGCAGATGTTTTGTGCAAGTGTGGCTTTGTCTAAATAATGAGGAATGGAAATTTGTTATTACACTAATATCGCCAGATGAATATGACTCTGGAGGGGTAATGGCTAATCGACCTGTATTGAATTGAATTTGTGGTCATCAGAGAATTGAAGGTTTGAAGATAGACTGTTATAAATGATTGGAGATAAGCCATGTGTTTAAAGGTAACATGGAATGTAGTGTGTGGGGGGGGGGGTATTTGTACAGAAAGGAAAAGTCTTTGATAAGGAATATCTATTGGAAGGAGAATCATGTCTAAAAATTTTACAATTTAAATATAAGAAAAAGTGTTTATAACAGGAGGCGCTTAGGCTACGAGCTTTTACCATTAGGAATTTCATTTTTGGGTAAAATTAAAGTTCCATAAGATATTTACAAGATAATTCTCTCGTTGAGATATTGGTCAAATAATGCAACTAAGAAGTAGGGGAATAGTAACATAAAGGGAAAATGTCATAATACATTATATTTGTTTTTGACTGGAGATTTTTCTATAACATAAGACACTTTTAATTTTTTTTAAAAAGATACCTCCATAAAAGTAGAGGTTAAAATATAAATAAGTTTTAAGGACGATCAAAATTGAATTATGACTGGAATAATATGTCGCCTATTTAGTTTTAGAACTACAATTTTCTTACTTAATATTAAATATTTGTTATAAAATCTCTTCATTTTCTTATAAAATTTCTTAATTTTTTTTAATTAAATTTCTTCATTTTATTATAAAATTACTTCATTTTGTTTTTATATATGATTTCTTCATTTTGTCATTAAATGTTCCCTAAAATGAAATTTGCTCTCATTCAGGTGAGCTAATTGATATAGGGAAATCAACCGATTTGCGAATTAAATGCGTTTTTTGCTTTTATTTAGTCAAAAAGGTTATAGGCCTAATTTTCAATTTACGCCTTTCCTTTTTTATTATTAATCTCGCTTATTTAAGCGAAACGCTCTGATCAAGAAGCAGATTGAAGCTTAGATATCTCTTCACTACAAATATTGTGCTTACTTAGGAAAGACTATAAGCGAGTCACCGATGTACCAATCTTTCCTAAATTTCGAAGAGGAAAGTGAGATATTCATCAATAATAACCTCTCTCCTACTCTCCCCCCTTTTCCTCTCCCCTTCCCCCATTTATATTTTTTTTTACTTCATGGATACTTTATCTTTTCCTATAATATTGTTAAATTTATCTTGAAATATTATGTTTTAAGCGATAAAATGCATATGCAGACAGTTTTTATTAACATAAACTTACAAAGATAATATATCGAAATTGTTTTTAGTTCTCCCTTAATTATGCTTAAAATACAGTTCATTAGATTTAATTTTTTTGCATTATTACACATATGTGTAACTAGAAAGAATATTATTCAAAACTATTTTAATCTTTTGTTTTTACTAATTTTTTATATAGATATAATACCCTGTAATTATAATATTAATTAACCACTAATCCTACTAATGTTAAAAAATTGCTATTACAAGGTATTCTTAGGCTGCTTGATATGCTTCGCTAATTTAAACATTACATATTTAACTAATAAATGT